TCCACCAATAAATGATTACATTTACAAAACTAACGATAAACTTTTTCGATCAACTAGTATAGGGTGATGCATAGTTGATTAAATTAATAAAATAGATTAAAGGTGTGTCGACCATATTGAAACACCCAGTGCATTAGCCACAAGTCGATACACGGTTAACGATCTTATGTAAAGTGGCTATTATTAGCTATATGGGTTGGGGCTGTGGGCATTACTACATATATATGGGCAGACGGCACAGTGCAAATCATCAGTCGGTCCAGTCAACCATTTAGTGGTCATAGCCAACCGATAACGTCCCCCCGGACTTCCTGGCCACACTGTGACGTTCCAGCCGCAATAAACTATAGGTAGTATTATCCTAATCCCTTAGCCTTGAGCTACTGTGCTTTTAATCACGATCTAGACGCCGGTCCGATCGTGATCTCATTCCCGATGCATACATAAATCCTACATACTTCAATATCATTATTGTTATTATTATTATTCTCTATTTAGGAAGAAATCTACGTTACCCTTCAACAAAATCAATTATTACCATATCAAACTTTGCATTTATCGTGTATTTAAAATTAATATAATAAACCTTTCCCCTTCAAAGCGAAGGAAGGTAACCCAAAAAAGGGTTAAGCGTTACAATTGCCGCCCAGACATAAGAACCTAAAATATTAGGCATACACAAATTTTTATTTAATTAAAATTATTTATTAACACAACATTTAAATTAATTTATTTAAATTAAAAAAAAAAAATTATCTTATATTATAATATTCTAGTTGATTCTAGTACATTTTATCGTCATTGTGTTTATACGTTCAGATTCCCTTATTATCTTATATCACATATTGTACGTTCAAAAGCACTTGTTTTCTTAAAAAGCAATAATAAATCTATCAAAGATGTTAATGGCTGCTCATATTATGTTAAAACTTAAGCTGTATAATACCAACATGTACTTTTATGTACGACAACGTATAGTTTTAACAACACAAATATCAACCAAAAATTTTAAATTCAACTTTAGTTACATGTAAATGGTTAAAGACAGGGGAGAGTGGATTATAGGATCTAAAGCACTTCTCTTACATACCTAAATTGTGTAAAATAAAAGTGTAATTTTATGAATACATATTTTTTAATATAATATATTCGGATATGTATTGTTTTGACAATGTAAACTTTAACTATGTGGCTTTTGCTTATCATGTATATTTGAAGTGATTTTTTTTCTAGCCCTCTTTTTTTCATTTCTACCTCGTCCTGCATGTAATTATATGTCTTAAGTGGAGAAACAACATTAATTAACAAAGATGTTTTAACCAAAAATACAAGTTGAATATATGAGATATTAATGGTTAGATATTTATGGGTGTTTGCTATAATAATTTTAACATCAAGGTATAACTATTTCGTATGTAAGTTAGGAAGTATAAATTCAGTAAATATTTGTATGCATTTTTATTCCTCCAGAAAAGCCTTATACTCAACCAAACAAATCCGAAATAAGTTTCACCTCAGCTGCGCGTCTCGCTGCACCTTTTATTTTAAAATTATTATTAATAGCCGCGGCATCAAAGGCTATTGGATGAATTTTAGCTTCACATTTTTCTATACTATTCAATATTTATAAAGCTTATTCGTTTCCTCGACTTATTTTATGACATGGAAATAGGATGAATTTTGGAGGAAATCCAATTACCATGTTAGTTTTTAAAAATATTGATTAGGGATTAAGTTATTATGGTTTAATACTCCAGTTTTGTATGAATAATCATAAATCAATTAAAAAATAGGAAAGATAAAAAAACCTGTTTTTTAATATTTTTCCTTATTGGTGAACTTATAAAATATAATTATTGATAAAGTTTGTAAGTATGAATTTAACAGGCAAATTTAACACGATATGTTATTCCTTTTAAATTTGGTCAATTGTAATAGATTTTTAAAACACATTTTTTCATGGTGCTCATATCCATATCTTTTGTGGGTAGTCTATGCGTAACCGTGTTTTTTTGTTTCTTTATTTGTTCTTGACGATGGAATAAATAATAATACTTTGGGTAAAATATACATATTTAAAAACACCTTTACAAACGTAGACTAGTGTAAATGGTGTCAATAATGGTTTATTTAATTTCAACAGAAAAGTATAGAACCAATTACGTATTACGATTTTAGATGCTTCATTTCACTCAATTATAACGTGTGTTCACAACTTCTAGATTAAGCTATTGCATTATTTGATTGTATAAATAAAAAAAATAAAAATAAATAACTATGTTATTTATAGCAGAATACCCAAATACACGAACGCACCACAGTTGCCTATGCAAACGCCGTGTTATAAAAAACTGTTTAATGTATTCAACAGTTTAATATAATTTAAATGTTTTTATATCCTTGTGGAATTTTAAGCTAATGATCAAACAATGATAAATATAACCTGTTTAGACTCCTTTTAAATTTATTTTAGTACAATATTAATTATTTGAATTAAAAAAAAAATGAAGTACAGTAATTAAACCAAAAATTGTCGTTGATAGCTTTAAGAGCTTGTTGCTAATAGGAAAAACCAAATGCTGATGAGAACACAGATATTTGTCTTAGATTTAATTTATGATAATTAACAGGTAGATTGGATTTTATACCCATGCGATACAATGATTTGAATTTGATAAAAGCCTGTGTGTTACATCTTATAACAACTGAATAATTGTCAATTTTCTCTTAAATTAAAAAAAAACAGAAAGTTGATTTTAGGCTCATTTGAAAAAAACTTGTCAAGAAGATACAAAATATGAATGAAATGTTTTTAATAAATTCAGTCTAGCTATCCATGAATATTAATATAGGGAGAAATATACTAATATCACCTAAAATTTTTATTGACAACCGCTGTTTATTACCACATTCCATGAACAAAACAAATTATACGTACTGGCTAAAAAAAATAGCAAAAATAACAATATAATAATATTATGGATGTAATAAATGACTGCTAATGTGGTTAACAACGGATAACAGGAAAATGACTAAGGCGATAAACAAACAACTATATACGACTCATTACATAAAGTAAGCTCTTACTGTCAAGTTGACTCAATTTTATTCACAAATTCAGTTATATCTTATGATTTTTTAAATTAATTTTGCTTATTGCCACTTTGCCGAGAAGAAGATTGTGTTTTGACAAAAATTTTTGTAAATAGCGGCTATTTTTCACTTTAAAAAACATTTTTCGACCACCAAGGACGTGGTCGAAACGGAAAATGGAAAATTTGTATTTTATGATGAAGTTACCACCGATGGAAACGATGAGAAATTGGAATCAATGAAAACTTGTTATCCAGAAACGGTGGCCGTCGTAAGACAGTTTAGGAAAGGGTTTGTTGGACTCGATCAAATGCGTTGAACGTGCAACGCCTATGCCTTTTGAACAGTCCACCTAAAGGACATAATAAACTATGCCAGTCATTTTTAAATGGTCAAACTTTGTAAATCTAACCGTTTTTATATAAATTACATTTTTATAATATTATTACAGTTCTTTCTACACCACCATCCCCACCGCTCAACGTCAGAGGAGCAAAACAACGGCTTTATGCAATTCGCTCGTAGAAAGTTAATTTGAATAGTACACCTAACCAATAAGGTGTAAAAAACTTTTACAAGAATATTCAATGAAAAAATTTACTTTTATCGTATTTATTTGTTTTAAACTAAAAAAGTGTATTAATGAAATCAAACAAAGCCTAATTATGGTTTGTTCTAAAAATGTCTGATTGTGGAGGGGGTACCGATGGTCATACACGGAGGACACTAGAGAACAATTAGAAACAAACTTATTAAATAAAAATTACATTTTTACCAAAAAAAAAATGATACTAATTTCTAAAATATTGAATATGAAATAATTCTAAGGTCACCACTGAATTGAGAATAAATTTCTAACCCAAAATGATGTGTCGCATGCCATATGTTGATTTTGATCACATACCGGCCACTTGGTGGCCGCCTTGTGGACGTTTGTTTGGCAAGATACCAAAAAATCATGTTACATATCGATTCAACAAGATTTTTTCTCCTGATTTCAAATCTGAAATATTTTTCTTTCGTAAGACAATTTTTTAATGAGATACGAGTTCTATTTTGAATAATTTTTAAATAAAAAAAAATGAATACCATTTATTGTACCCATAGAGCATCTTGAATGTCTCATTTGAAGCTCGGTAGACCTTTACATTACACCCTGTATATATATATATATATATTATATATATGTTTGTAGCGATAAAATAAAATTCCTTATAGTTAAAAATTAAAACGTAATAATCAGAACTTCACGCCGGTGTAACACGACTATGTATCGTCATATTGAAAAAAATAAACCACCTGTGTAAACTAACATAGGTACACTGCCAAACCTATCTAGACTTTACTACTTCGGTCGAAATATATTATGTCCGTGTACAAAAGGCGAGAAGGTCACTCAGTATCAATACAGTTAATCAAGTTGAACAAAAGTTTAATAATTTAAGTAAGTAACATTATCAAACGTTAAGAGTTTCATGTACGCTCGTAATCATATAGTATAGGATAAATTTAAAATCAATTTTTAGCTTCAAAACAGCTTACAGTTGTATTTTATTTTTTGTGACCTAAATACATTTAAAGTCAGAGTGTGGTATATGCAATTACTCAGTACTACTCGAAAGCTAAAAGGTACTTTGTAACAGACTTAAAAAATTATTTAATATATTCAATATCTTGTTATTTTATTCAGAACCACGGCTTTAAATTGAGTTTTATACAGTCCTGAATGGTTTTATGACAACATTTGCATTTATTAAATCGTATGAAGATTGCAACACGCAATGCTAATTAAAAATGTATTTACCGTTTCCTTACTATTCATAAAGCTTATAATTTTATTTCAAAGAATTTTTTATTAACGCTAATATAAAATACTACCTAAAAGGTTTTACTATCTTATTAAGTTTTTGTTTAAAATAACGGATCAAGTAATAAGCAGTAAGCGTGTCAAGATTGGGCGCTTGAAAAATAGTTCCTTAATAGCAAACACTTTATTTAAGGTATGTATTAAAACGTTAAACATTTTGTTAAATCATTTTTAGCTTCGGTGCAGAGCTGAGAAGGTATTGTTTTTACAATGATGTGTGTTTTTATTATTTTATTTTTATTGATACGATGCTCTATAACTTTTTTAAAAATAGTCGAATATGTTCTAAATTTATATGAATTGTTCTTCAAACATAGTACTATCGATAAACATTAACAAACCAATAAAATATCATAAATACTTTTGCCGACGATACAAGTATACTAGCGTCCCTTAATTACAAATTTTTAACTCCAACACCACCTCAGTCTTCTTGAAAAATGGTTTACTAAATGGAAAATAAAAGTTAATACAAGCAAATCAAGGTGGAATCACCTTATCTCTTTGGCCAGACAACTGTCCACCAGTCAAACTTTACAACACTCTACTCCCCCAAACTAACCAAGTAAAATACTTAGGCCTCATTTTCGACAAACTTGCCTAACTTGCCGATGTCCTTTGTCCGGCTTATGAACGAGGTCCTTAGAGGGTATTTAGATGATTTTGTTCAGGTTTACCTGGACGACATAGTGATTTATTCAGAGGACCTTAACAGTCACCTAAACCACCTTAGTAAAGTTCTCGAGCGGCTACATAGACACGGCCTGACATGTCACACAAATAAGTGTAAACTAGGGTTCCCCGAAATTTCCTTTCTTAGGCATTTGGTGAACGCGGTAGGAATAGAAAAACAACCCGAGAAACTCGAGTCCATACGCAACCACCCCATACCCAGTAAGGTAAAAGACCTCCGAAAGTTCTCAGAGGTGTGCAATTGGTACAGTCAGTTTGTAGACAACTACTCCGACACAGTAGCACCCCTAACGAAACTACTTAAAAAGGGGGGGGGGAATGATCTTGGACCGACACCGCGCAGAACTCGTCGGAGACAATTAAACGAGCTTTATGCGAATCACCTAAACTGTGTCCCCCCGACTAAAACATATATGGTGGGTTTTGTCAAAAAGAAAAATATAATTGTCAAATAAAGAAAAGGACTTGTAATACCAAAACCATCTCATCTCTATTGACGACTGTGACTAATAAAAATTACATTTGTGTTTGTTAATTTTACAGATAAATATGAACATTTTCAGTTTTTTAATATCATTTGTTTTTTTAAAAGTGTCCACTTACAATATAAGTAATTATTTTATTTCCACATATACCTAGTTGTGGTAGATTTGAAAAAAAAATTAATATTTTACATTTTTACAGTAAATTATATGCAGGATCTTGTCATTACAAGTCGGTAACATTTTTTGTTTAATTTTAATGACGTTCTAAAAATTATGTTTTTATTGTTTTGTATGTTTTTTTCTAAATGATGTACTACAGATGAATACATCGAGGTTGCTTATAGTATGAATAATATTACTACAAAAGATAATGTTGTTGTAGCAAGTAAGATATATATTTAAAAGTATAATAATTGCTTTGTTATATTTGTCTAACTTTCGAGTTATTTATAAATCAAAAATATTGCAAAAAACAGGTGCATATTATTTATATATACCTAAATAGGTCAAAACGAAAAATACGAGCCCACAGGATTTTTTCAAAAATGTCTGTTGCAATAAAAAGAATGTTCTCAAATTGTTTTGGATTTTTTTTTTCGATTATTTTGTCTATGATCGTAAAAAAATATTTTTAGTTTTTTCTTGAAACTTCTTTTTTGTTATTTTTTTATAGTATCTTCGGCTATCGACATTTTTAATATTAAAAATCAGTTTCTCATGAAAAACCATATTAGTTTTCTGAAAAAAATATTAATTTATTTTTTCGAGAATCATAAAGTCGTTAATATTGAATTCATAATCTAAAATGTTGTTTTATTCGTGTGAAATAAATTTTCGTTTTTTAAATGTGAAAATTTCAAACCGGGTTCTTTATAAAAACGATTAAAAACCAAAAAAGAGGTTAAATTTTTTAATAAAGTAATAACAAATGTGATGCCCTGGACAATTGTCCCAATGTTCTAAACACTGTGCTATTTATTAAAGTTATAAAAATAATTTATATTTATATTTTAAGCAGTGGTACCTAAAATGTCATACACTTTGCTTTAGGCAGTGACTATTCAACAGGGAGGGTAGCGATAAGTTAAATTGTCATCATTTAAAGCAATATGTAAGCAAGTGCTTATTCTGATTGTTTTTATGTAAGCAAAATTATTTTGTTTAAAACTTGTATAATTGCTCTAAACTTTATTTGTTTATTCTAGATGGATTGGAGCATGTAATTAAACAAATTGTAAAGAAAAGTCAACAAGGAAGTTTAGGTAGTTATAATTATTTAATAATAACAAAAATAAAGAAAAAAATGTAATATAAATGTTTATGCAAGTGATATAAATAATACATTATTCTCTATAGTTTAAATGAAAAAAAAAATACTAGCTCGGGCAATTGTATCTAATAGTTATATTTTGTTATAATAACCACATTTGCTTAAATTCAGCAATTTTTGTTTACATAATAGCTTATCTTTTAAAAAAAATCAAGGCAAGTACATTTTTATTTCAAGTTACCAACGCCTATTTTTATCTACCTTAAAATTGTTTTTTCGGTTTATAACAGAATAGAAAACTAAATCCAACATAATTAATAGAAGCAATGTTAATTTTAGGAGTTTTGAATAACATGTTCACTCAACCCGGTAATTATAATTTTCAATGAATAAAATGGGAATATTTCCACACATTATTTTTGTATTAATTTCAGATTATCGACTCGATAACGACTGGAACGGTAACAACTTATTTGTGTTCCTTATTTACAATACTTTATACAAATATACTATTTATACATATTATGGAGAGTAATCATAATGTGTATATTGTATAAATACATATTTGTTTCAATCACAAGATATAAATAATTGAAATTTATATTATGTACATTTTACAGTATGTAAGGAAAAACAAACAGCTTTGCGAGATGAAATACAAAATGAATTGGGTAAACACAAAATTTAACCTTTTTTAAGGAATATTTTCAAAATCTTTAATTTCTTAATTCTAAAGGAAGACGATAAGAATTAAATTGAAGTTCAATCAAGTTCAAAATATTATATTGCATTATGTTTTTCGCATTAACTTCAGTTTAGTATATAATTTAAACCGTCAATTCATAAGTTGCTATTAGAAATAAATGAATTTTATTACAACATTTTGCATTATTTATTTGTTCTAATTATTCTCAGTTTTAGAGTGGTTATATGTTTTTATATTAGATATATTTGTTACAGAGATTGCTGTTCCTCAAATTGAAGACAAAAGTAATTAAAAATTTTACGATATTGGTAAAAAGTCTTTAAGGCTTGTTTGGAATTTTAATTTGCTTATTTTTTTTAAACATTACTATTGTTTTTGTACGAATTAAACTTTCAGTTGGGAAGGGAGTATGATACGCATTTACAGCGGTATTTTGAACGTCATATTTATCAATTAATTTTCACTCCTTTGAAAGAGAAAAAATATTTTAAATATAGATATAAACAAATTCTTGACTAGATAATGTGGGTTAATAAAAAACACACATTGTAGACATAAGAGGATATTCATTTAAAACGTTAGGGGACTACTTTTCTTATTAATATACTAATAATACGGCCATTTAATATTTTTTTACAGATTTTAGAAAATTCAATTTGAAAAGCCTTGCAGCCAAAAGAAGAAGTACTACTACAAAAGCTTTAAAAAATATTTTGGACCGGGCAATAAGTATATATATTAGTTTAGAGTTGTAATGAGTGTTAACGGACTTCCAAAGCACGGGGGGCCCCCGTGGAAATTTTTGAAAGTTATCCTACTAGTGTGTTACGATGAAAAAATTTGTTTGATAGGGGGTAAGAGATGAGGGTTGATGTTGGCGGGTGGGAATGGGGTGGGGGCATATATGTTGTATTCACAACGTTCAAAATAGAAATGAATAATAAATTCAATAATTTAAGGGGCCAAATTCTCTATGAATTGTTTTGGGCCAGATATTATGGAAACACTAAAATATTATCCAGAAACTTGATATGTTTACTAGCCACCTTAGATACATAAAAATGTATCCCGTGGTGTTGCAGACTCGTACGCAAACTGTTAAAATATAGTATGTAATACCTATGTGAAAACCTTTAATAGAGCCTTTCAAACCGTTGAATACTTTAGTTTTTTTCATAGTTTATTCAGCCATAAAAATATTTAATTCTTGTTGTTTGGTATTATATCAAGTGCCGATGGAACATTATGAGTAATTGACCGTTGCATTCCACACTTTTTTTTGCCCGCTTTCGTTATTAAAATAGTAATTTTTTCATTTTAACCGCTTATAATAAAAATCGAATTAAGTATGAATACTTAATTTGTTTAAGCTTCTAATGTCCGGTTGTACAATAAAAATAGTGCTAACAAAGTTCACTGAAATGCAATGCAGTAAAAAACTATTACAAGCAACTAAATTATTTTCTATTATTCTTATGTATAACCAATACGGTTATTTATTAACTTTTGCAGATTACGATACGTTCAATCTCATCCACGAGAGTATACTTCTTGATACAGAAGCGTTTGAAAATAGAATTACCCAAACATTAGGTATGTGCTATTGCAATGCGTTTTCTACATGGTATTTAATAAGAATAATTCATAACAGTTTATCTAGGGTACAACGAATTTTAATTTATAGCAATAAACACAATAAGTGATAACTAGATTACAAATTTGTAATATAACAGTAAAAGTAGCTGCTCAGAAAGTACAACTTGCAAATTTTATTTGTTTTGAAAAGTACATTAGTGGTGTGTTGTACTATAAAAAAAAACTAGTCACTAAGTTTAGTAAATACAAATATGTTTTTAATATTTTAGCTGGACCTGAAGAGGAAATATCTTTACTAATGATGTGTCATTTGATAGCATTGTTCATGAACACAAAATCGTGTGATTGTTCATGGTTTTATATAAAAGAAACTGAGGCTCACTCTGATGATACTTGTTACATGTTGTACAATGATGGCTCTACAACGAAAACATACAGAAAAATCGAGGGCCAGTGGTGTGAAGTCAACATCCATACTAATTTTTTACAACCGCTTAAGGAACAGTTATTATAATTATATAATTATTTAGATTTTGTTTTATTTAAATAATATTTGCGTTTTTCCCTATTATCTAAGTTGTTAAATTACAATTTAACGTAATTCATAATTAACAGTTTTACTCACAGTAATAATCACATTAAGCATTTATTAAAATAGTAGTTAATCTAATCATCCTTTGCCTTTTTTCATCATTATCTATTTCTAGTAGTTTTTAGGTCATTCAAAACTACATCTATCTAACAGCTAACTCTTTCAGGATGATTACCATACGTTGAGTCCTTTTCCTCCCTAACTAAGAAGTACCTTCTTTTCAAATTTGGTGTTATTCTCGATTTTGAAGGGGAAGGGGTAAATATTTTAACATTTTTAATTATCATCCAATACCATGCAAAACTCATTTTAACAAATTTGGCAGTTCGTTACAATTTATTCCCAACTCCAGCTTCAACTCCAACAACCTGAAGAGGAAATATCTTTATGGATGTGTAATTTAATAGCATTGTTCATGAGTAAAAAATTTCCAGTGTCATGTATAAAGAGTTTTCAGTCTAACTCTAATGATACTTTTATTCTAAATAATGGCTCAACAAAGGAAACATACAGAAAAATTGAAGGCCAATGGCGCGAAGTTATTATAATTATTTAAAATTGTTTAATTTAAATATTAGTTGCATTTTTCCCTATTATTTAAGTTGTTAAATTACAGTTTAATGTAATTGATAATAAACAGTTTTACTCACGACTGTAACCATATTTGTTGCTTGTGTGTTGATTTAAACAGATACTTATAATTAAAGAATCATAACTAAAATAATGGACTATCTGGGTTAGTCTAAACTCTACAATGTCATTGATCTTGTTAGTTGTTTTTATGAGGTGTATTTGGATCCAGAATGGCGCGGACTGGGTTCTCGGTACTCAAAGATATGGGGATAAAATTAGCCCCTACTCGGTTTCAATCTGTTATGAGTTCAGTATTAACTGGTTTGGTTGGGATAGCCTGCTTAATGTACTTGGATGATATTGTCATGTACCGAAAAGATCTAGTTGATGATAACAAAAAATTAACAAAAGTTTTCGAAAAGGCTTAGGCGAAGGAAGATAGGGGGTGGGAGATATGAGGTGAGAGATAAGTGTGGGAGATAGAGGGTGGAAAATAAGGGGTTGGGGTTAGGGGTAATCTTATATAGATATAGGAGAAAAGAGATATGTTGTACGTTCAACGTTCAAATTAGAACTAAATGATAAATTCAAAATAGTTTAAGGGCCTAAATTCTCTATGAGTTGTTTTAAGCCAGATATTAAACACTACAATATTAGCCAGAAACTTGATGTTTTAATATACTAGCTTGTTACTGCTTCTTATACCATGCTAGTAGAATGAATGTCATTCAAAATCTTGTTATGACAAGTAAGATACATTTATAATTAATTTACTAATATGATTCGATTTTGTTATGTTTGTCTGACAGTTGAGTCATTTATAAATTAAAAATAATGATTTTTAAAAACAGTTCAGAAAAGTGACGAGGAATATAAAACGATGTTTCGAAACACTGTCTGACTTACTACAAATAAACTTAAATATCAAATAGTTTATATTCATATTTAGTAGCTCCTCCGCATAAAGACAATAACAAAATATAATAGCCCATAGGGAAATAACTGAATGTTTGTAAAATGTTAAAATATGTTAAATCTAGACATATTTCAATTATTACTTACTCATACTTTTAATTCATCATTGTTAAATCTATTTTATTATTTTCACGGTACATTATAAAATCCGGATCAGTGGCGCCAAACTAAAATTTAATAGGACGGGCAAAAAAATTAATTAAAAAAATTAAAATCGCCTCAAGGTTATGTTAGGTAAAAAAAGCATCGTTGTATCTATTTTCATAACCCGCCGGTCAACCCCCCTCCCACCACCACTCTATAACAATGGTGTTGTCGCCCCCTCATCCCCTGAAGAGCAGGTTCGGCACCTGTGCTTCGGATTATTTTCACTGAGGTTCGAAATCCGAAAACTGGCTTTTACGGTTTTAAAGAAAATCCTATTTTATTTCCTATCAATAGTTCATAGTCTTGAACTGAGTTCGTTTTAAAAGACGAATAAGAGAAACCATCTAATTAGAACAAATATGAGAATATGCTATTTGAGCTATTCAAATGTACTGATAGGATACCCAGTATCGGTAGAAGGGTCGAAAAATATATTATAACTACAATCGATAAGATATTGTTTAAAGTATTCCAAATGTAGTTATACTGTAAAATGCTAAAATACAGTGAAAAATCAAAAACCAAAAATGTAGTTTTCGAAATACATTTTCAGAAACATTTAATGATTTAAGAATTTATATTTTTCAAAAAGATTTGGCTCTTCTACTCTCCATCCCATCTATTCCCCGACCCAAATGTACTGGTTTTTTTATATTCTAGGCGTGAATCTTAAAAACGGAATTTGGTTTTTTTCATATAAGCTTATCGCTTAGTTCAAAATGTATGTACATTTCAAAGTAAAATATTCAGTTGTTTTTTGTACGTTATTATTTTATTAAATATACATCTGGGCCACAGCTATTCAAAAAGATTCTTAAGAACTTGTTATTGTCGAAAACAAGTGTATTGTTTAACTATTTTGCTTTGCCGTTTGTTTAGGCGCCCGATGTTCGAATAATTATAGCAAATAACTATTTTGTACGTTAGGATACAATATTATTCTACTAAATTATCATTATACGAACATTTATAATTATTACTCAATGCTACATTTAATTTTAGTATACAGAAATTTTATAACAAAACTATTTTTTTAACTGCGTAAATTAAAGATGAACTAAATTAATTTATTAAGATATCGGGAAAAATAAACACGGTAGTAAAAAATGTGTTTACTAAAATACAAACATGGCGTTGGTGAAAATACATTTTATTCTAAGTTTTCATACAAAATTTGTAATTAATATAAAAGCCGCCAATCTGTTGTATCCCCACTATGCCCACCTAAACCGACTCCTCTGTACTGGCTTTTAACATCAATGTAATTTATTACAATTGTAATTATAAAGTATTATAATTGTATGTAAATAGTGTTTGGTGATTATGATAAGAAATCACGAAAACGGCGTTCATGCAAACCATTCCGGAGAACTGTCTATTCTCAACTTAACATTCAGGATCTAATTTGGACTAAGTAAGTATTAGATCCTCATCCACGCTAAAAAACTTATGAAATATTTAAAAACAAAGAACATCAGTGTATAATTAATATGATAAAATTTAAATTTAACCTTGTCTTATGTTCAAAAATTATTCGTACTTTAAAAAAAAACAGTGACTACCTATGTCGATTTTGAAATGACCGATTTGCTTTACATTTAACTGCATGTGTTATTTTATTATAAAGTTAAGGTACAATTTTTGCATAACTAAAATAAAGTACTACGAAATACGGTATTTAATATAATATTCTTTTATTTTCATATTTTAAATTATGATATAATCAGTTTATTCATTTTGAATTTAGATACATCAAATTAATATTTTTAATTTTAGATTAATTGTTTCATAAAATACGAATGGTTCCATATCCTCGCATTCCATTGAATCTTTCAATTGTTTTCCCGTTGATATTAAGTGAACCTTCAGCCCATTGTATCAGCCGTACATCGTTTCCTTGAACTTCGGTGACTTTTATGCCGTTGATAAAGAGTGCGCCTTTTCTAAACCATACGTGTACAAAACCTGAGATAGCATTTATACTTTCTGAAAAGTTTACAATGAATGAAATGTTATATAGTGTACCAATGATAGTAACTCTACGACGAGGCCCAATTAGACTTACCTCTGTTACCACCGGAATTAAGAGTCACCGTACCTCCATCACCCTGAACACTAGGACAACCACTGTAATCAAAATTCGCTCTGTAATCAAAATTTGGATCGTAAACTTCATAATGGCTTAATATTGGAGTATCTTTTCCGCTTGGTTCACTCGGTTCAAACTGTTCACACGTATCACTGTACTCGTTGTGAGTATCATCATTCCATGTAATATCTAAAACAAGGTGTTACCGACTGAAATGTTAATATTATAATCTGAAGAAAGATGTAGATCACATCTTTTATGTAATTAAGTTTAATTCAATTATTTTTAGTGTCAATGCAGGCTGAAGAAGTATTAGTTTTAAAATGGTTTATTTTGCGTTAGACGCGTTATAAGTTAAAAATAATGCTATAGTACTTCATTATTTGTTTTTTACAACTTTATAGCATTCCCAATTTGTTCTAAATTCTAAGAGATATTTTTTTAAAGTGCAACTGATGTACAGTAAAATATTATGAAAATACCGATACTTTACGCCCATAAGGATGAACAGCGTGAGCCCTATGCCGTCTAATTAAAAAAATTATATAATCAAACTTAATAAATATTAAAATAACTACTAAACCCGAATAACAAATGCAATAATTTAATAATAAACTGTTGCTTTGTACTGTTGCCTGGGACTTGTATGCCGCTGATAAAGAGTGCGCCGGCTTTAAACCGTACGTCTACAAAACCTAAGGTAGCATTTAAACATTCAGGAACGTTTACAATAAAATATAAGGTACCACTGCTATCGGAAACTCCACTGTATGAAAGGTCAAATACGTTTGATTGCATCGGGGTAACTTCATCATCGCCATCTTGGCTCATTATCGGAATCTCACGTTCACTTGGTTCACTCAGTTCAATTAGTTCACTCGGTTTAATTGGTTTACTGTACTCGTTATCAAAATCATCCCATGTAGTACCTAAAACAAAGTGTTACCGACTGAAATGTTAATATTACAATCTGAAGAACGATGTAGCTCACAACTTTTATGTAATTAAGTTTAATTAAATTAATTTTTAGTTTCGATGGGGACTGAAGAGGTATTGGTTTTAAAATGGTTTATTTTGCGTTAGACGCGTTATAAGTTAAAAATAAATGCTACAGTAGTTTATTATTTGTGTTTTTTACAACTTGATAGCATTCTTAATCGACTGGTTAAAATGTTCTGTTGATTTGTCTCAATGAAAAGTCAACGACATCATGCTACAATTAAGTTTTCGACCCCCCCCCCTCCCAAAAAAAAAAAACACAGTATTTTGCACATATATTAAAAAATATTCTTAACATATCTATAAATGAAGGAAAAAAATGTAACCTTTCCTTATTCTTGGAGTAAGTTGTTCACTTAGTTCACCCGGTTCACTTAGTTCACTCAGTTCAATTAGTTCACTCGGTTTAATTGGTTTACTGTACTCGTTATCAATATCATCCCATGTAGTACCTATAACAAAGTGTTACCGACTTAAATATTAATAATATAATCTTTTGGAACGATGTAGCTCTCATCGATTATGTGTTTATGTTTAGTTCAGTTATTTTTAGCTTCGATGTGAGGCTGAAGGAGTATTGGTTTTAAAGTAGTTTGTTTTACGTTAGACGCGTTATATGTTGAAAATAATTCTGTAGTAATTTATAAGTGTATACTCAACTAAAAGCCAATAACAAATAAAATAATTCAATAATAAATTGTTGGCATGTACTGATAAGATTTTTATTAGTAATTTTTATTGATTTTTAATACTTTTATTGGGTACACTTATAAATTTAGAACAAAATTCCATGGTAATTTAGTAGTTTTTTTTTACAATATTGTTATATACCACAAAAAAATTTCCCGAATATCAGAGCTATAATAGTAAAAAAATAAAATTAGTTATGAATAACAATTTTTACTTTTATGTGCGATTAAAATTAGTCATTATTAAAACATTTTCTTGTTGAAAAGTTAATTGTTTTGTAGGTACATACGAATAAAGTTTTTATGGACCTCAGAAAGAATCTTTGACGATTTAGCAATTTAATTTTTGTGATTTTATTTAACTTAAAAAATTTAACTAGGTGTACGCATTTATGAAAATTATTGAGCGTTTGCCTAGTTTTTCAAGGAATAATATCATTTAAACTGAAGAACTGCGTATAGCTTGTTTTCGTAGCATTACATTTAAAAAAAAAAATTATATAGACATATCAAGTCGCCAAGCGTGTACGTGCTCTTGGGGGCTCCGCGACATACGTGAACTTAAAGTCGGAATATATACAGAGTGTGTTAAGTGCTAGTAGGCAGCCAGCACTTAGACAATTTTCGCGGGCACGGAAGCTGTACTTTCGCACCACTCCGTGTGCGGCCCGTATACGGAGAGTGTCAAGTGACTCGGGAGCCGCCGAGCACTTCGAAAAATTGTCTTAAGCCACCATAGCCAAACGCGGCAGTTACGCCCAAAAACCTACCTAGAGGGCGCGCCTCACCGAATTGGACGTTTGGGGTGTCTACGCAAGAGAGATACCGAGCCGGGGCCAGTGGTGAAGACCGCATACGGTTCGGACCAAAAACCTGCCCACGGGGGGGTTTTGAAATCCGAAAAAACGGTTTTTAGATACCAGGGTCCCAGAAAGCAAAACTTTGAGAGCCGTCCGATCCGGCCGTGTAATGTGCCCGAGGAACCGAAATTGTAGCGGGGTCGATCGGTGAAGGCTACAAGCCGATCGGAACAGAGACCTGCCGAGGAGGGTCCACCAAAGGCTTATTACAAGATTAGTAGTTGTAATATTATGTGGTTGACTTTTTTCATAACAAAATTAATAATTCGCAAGATGAAGCACAACAACTAGAGACTCTGATAGTAGAAGAGAGAGCGCTTAAATGCGGCTTATAACAAAGGCGAGATCAGGGGTCATATCTTGGAATCCGTCTTTGAACTGCTCAGAACGGTGACCGGATTAAGTGCCTCTGGGCCTTAAGATCACCCACCATCAACATTGGAGAAGTACAGCCTAAAGCCGCCCCGGAGGCGTCAGAGCTACGGTAGGTGGGATTTCAAGTGACCAGAAGAGAAGAGGTCATTGCCAAAAGCAAGAACAGAGGCACCAGTAAAGTAATTCTGGATGCAACTAAGCAACTGCGATTGATACTGACAAAAAACAAGGAAGGGACAGATGAGAGGGGCAAGACCAAAACCCCGCTGAAAAAGAGTCCGAAGATGGTGGATGAAACCAGAAACTTCAGAAACATAAGAAGGCCACATAGTCTAAACCGTTGGGAAGGGCGAGGAGGCTGCAAAATTGAAAACAGAGGCAGAGATGGTACTAGGCGCAGACGCGGTGGTCCGAGAGTCCGCTAGACCCATCGTCGTGGAGATTCTAGGTGTCGGATGCTTTGATAACGCAGAGTATGTGGTATCGGACATCTGCAGAGACGGTGCCAGCAGAGACGAGGTAAAGGTACGTAGGCTCGTACCCTCGTTCGGAGATGCACAGAGAGCCATAGTACAGGTCACCGGATCAGTTGCTACACAATTAATGAAAAGAGGGACGGCGAGGATCGGATTCATAAGATGGACAGATGTTTACACTGTCATGACTATGGTCACAAGGCTACGGGATGCAAAGGCCCTGACCATTCAAAACAGTACATGACATGTGGGGAGGAAGGGCATCTGAAAAAGTCTACTAAGCCCCACCGGTAGTGGGAAATTTGAGGCGTTTCGAGCTGCAAAACAAAAAATTGAAGAAGGGAAACCCGGTGCTGAGCAAAGATCAAACAGAAGACTAAATTTTAAAATTTGTATAAAAATTGGAAAATTTATAGCTGTATAGTATTTTTCTGTCTTGTATATTTTGTAAATATTAAATGATTTCACAATAAACGATGTAGGTGGCGTTGAAGTAATGCCTAACGGCGGGTCCCGAGTCTGCCTACGATTCCGAAGTGTGAAAAAAAAAAGATATCAGATTTAAATGTAAGACCTTTGTTTAATAAGTTTATAGTGGCAAATAGGTAATACAGTCATGATTAAATAAAATTAATCACTTATGATAATTATTTTAATAATTTTTCGTATGGTTATATTTTATGGTTGTACGAATAGTTTACTTTAAAAAAAAAAAAATATTTAAATTCAAATACATTATTTAAATAGTGCGCAGACATGATACTGCAATTAATTTTTACAGTTTAAAATTAATTATTTAACACCAAATTTTAATAATAATATAACAAATAGTTGAATGTGGAAAATACGGTTACTAATATTCATACTTAATAGTTTTTACCATCTATAACTTCTCCTACAATGTTATTTCCGAACTCAGTCACAATAATTACTAAAAAGACTATTTTCTCCACATCACCAACCAATATGCTTTGACCCCACTATGACACGACCTCATTGAGTTATTTTGTTTAATACCAAATCTCATATTATATAGTTACCTTTAAATGGCGGATTATCACCTCCACCACACCTGAAACGTAAACGTTTATATTTAAAATAATAATAAATGTACGGAAACTCTAGAGCTGATGAAGATTTCCAAACGCTTTTAAAAAATAAATAGAAAAAATTCTTACGCCACATATGCTGCCAGACTGACCAAGAGAATAATTTTAATATTGATCATGTTAACTGTTATGATGTGCTGTTTAATTCGACTACACTAAGATATTCAGTGTTTTCACCTTTCAGTACTTATAAGACTAAAGTAAAAATCGTTTACGTATGTCTAGTTTGTGCGTACGAAAAAAATATACATTAAATATTTTTTTCCAATACAACATAACTGTTTATAAGAACACGCGACTTATTCATAAGCATATAATAGAAATTTTGGCCGATATTGATTTAACGTTCGTTGCACTGCGAAATTATTATGATAAAAAAAATGTATTTGCTTAGAGCACAATATTTTACAAAAAAACAAGATATCAGAATTTTGGAACGAAGTGCCTTATCGCGGGTTGGCGAGGGGACTTAGTCGAGAAAAAATGTAACGCGTTATGAAAACTATATGTGGTGCGGTCGAGCGTGATCGGTTCCCAGGAGTGAATGGTACCAGGTTCAAATCCGACTTCCCTCTCAACACTTTTTGCATTTTTTTACAACTTTTTTTAAACTTTTATGTTAATTTATATTGCAAGAAGTCTAAAAACTTATAAAATATTTATATTTTATCACTGCAGAATACATTTTCACCCTTAAAAGTACATGATAACCTACATTGCATTCGGTTTTTCGTCATTTATTATACTTCTCGTACTGATGATTGAATAACAATTTTTTTTATAATTATATACATTTAGAATCTATTCCCAAATTATTTTACGACAATATAACCTTAAAAAAATGAAAAAAAACGCGAAATCTCGAACTTGCTGATAACTTGCACTGGCTCTTTATCTCTCTTCCTTTTTCTCACTATCTACTGAGATGCTTGAAACAGTGACTCTCTGACGCTAACGGCCATTAAATTTGCAATCTGTATTTTCAGTTCAGTTTAAATATATGTGCCAGTGTGTTATTGTAATATAAAAAAAAAATGTTTATAAAATAAAAATTTCTTGTATAATTAACACAATCTTTTAAAAACAAATAAATAAATATATATATATTGCAAATACATTTATGAATATAGTTATTTATTGCATCAGCAATCAAAATTAAAGAGAGGGGTGGGTAGAGAGAATGAGAGCCTGGCACGTTAATGATTAATTATGCTAAACCTCCATACGAAAGGGACTTCGTTCCAAACGCGTGTACCGCGACACGGACCAGTTTTTTTTTAACAAAACCCAAGTTAAAAAAATACATTGCATTAAAAAGCTCAACAATGATAACTATTGTATCCAAAATTAATTTAAAAATAATTATTGTAACCTAAAGTGATAAAATCGATGTCAATTAAAATGCATAGTCACCTATGACAATGGTAAAAAAAATGTACATAAAAAATGGTTAGACATTCTAAGTTAGAAATATGTCCATTGTATATGCGTTTTAACGAAAATTCTATTGTCCAAAAAACTACTGAAATAAACTATTAATTGGTAATAAACTTTCTTATATTATGTTAGTTAATCAAAACATAACATGAATATAATTATAATATTAAAATTATATTATATTCGTATTTACCTTATTATCCAAAAATAGTGGTCTTTTAAAAACATTTACATAAGTTTCTTTTTAATTAGTTTTTAAATAATGTACTATGTATTTAGAAAAAGTTAATAATAATCAATGTAATAAATAATAAATTATGAAGTAAAAAGTGATAAACAGTTAATAGTTGGTGGTTAATGTAAGAAAAAATAGTCTTGACCGCTTATGTGCTTAACTTTAAAACCGTTTATGTTTTTATAAAACAAGTTAACAACTTATTTTTACTTAAATGAGTTGGGGTGGGGGAGGGTTTTTCTCCGAGTACCCCCTTGATAATGACATGTTAATTATTTATTATTATGAAAATAATACCGCGAAACTAAGGCCACATTATACTTGAAATCATCATTAGAGCTATTTAGATAGCAAATATATAATGCTGAATAATACTAAACTTAGATCGATATATGGTAACATTTTAGTTATAATAATAATTCTGGATAAAAACCTCATGAAAATAATCACAGATTGATCTATACCGTCAAATTATTCCTGTGGCAACAGTACTTATATTGTTATGTGATTTTTTTGCTAAGAAACTTTTATACAAGCCTAATTACCATAAAACAAAATGCAAAAAACACTGTGCCAGTAATAATTAGATTATGATAAATGTGTAAAAGTTTGACGATTAAAAATCAAGTGTCCAATATTGCTAACCGTAAAGTAAGCATTGCTACCTTCGGTCTAATTTTCAAATTTAAATCTCTAAAACTTGGCTTGAAAAAGTAAAATAAAGGAAAAAATTCTATCCGTTCTAGGGGAAAGGGTTTATGACATTTTTTTGTTTTGTTAATGTTTATCGATAGTACTATGTTTGAAAAACGATTCGTATAAATTTGGAACATTTTCGACTATTTTTAAAAAAGTTATAGAGCATCGTAATTTTAAGTTGAAAATTTGTAAACTTTTTGGGTGTTTTTCTCGATTTTGATGGGGAAAGGGTGACTTTTTTTAATTTTTGGCCTGGTTAAGTACCTTTCAGGTATGATTTCTGATCTATAGAGTTGCTACACGAAGAAATCGGTTCAGCGGTTTACGAGATATCGTGGGTCCAGACACAAAAATTAAAAATTAAAACACATCATTGTAAAAACAATACCTTCTCATCTCTGCATCGAAGCTAATAGCTAATTGTAAAAAAAAAATACCCAACTATTTAACTGTAAGTATCAAATTAATCAATACAGTTTTTTATAAAAAAAAAACAGTAACCTATCTATGCCGTTTTTGAAATGAGCGATTTAATTATACTATTGATTGTATGTGTGTTTTTTTAGAGGTATGGTCTTGAATGGCCGAGACCAAGGAAGAAGAAGAAGATTGTATGACGTGTTGTTATATTATTATAAAGTTATGGTATAACTTTTGCATAACTAAAATAAAGTTCTACGAAATACGGTATTTGAATTTATTCTTTTATTTTCTTATTTTAAATTGCGATATAATCAGTTTACTAATTTTGAATTCAGATACATCAAATTAATTGTTTCATGAAATATGCATGGTTCCGTATCCTCGCATTCCGTTGAATCTTTCAATTTTCATCCCGTTGATACTAAGTGAACCTCCAGCCCATTGTATCAGCCGTACATCGTTTGCTTGAACTTCTGGGACTTTTATGCCATTGATAAAAAGTGCATCGTCTCTAAACCGCACGTGTACAAAACCTGAGATAGCATTTATACTTTCTGAAAAGTTTACAATGAATGAAATGTTATATAGTGTACCAATGATAGTAACCCTACCACGAGGCCAAATAAGACTTACCTCTGTTACCACCGGAATTAAGAGTCACCGTACCTCCATTACCCTGAATACTAAGACAACCACTGTAATCAAAATTCGCTCTGTAATCAAAATTTGGATCGTAAACTTCATAATGGCTTAATATTGGAGTATCTGTTTCGTTTGGTTCACTCGGTTCAATTGGTTCACTAGGTTCAATTGGTTCACTCGATTCAATTGTGTCACTCGGTTCAAATGGTTTACTAGGTTCAATTGGTTCACTCGGTTCAACTTGTTCACTCGATTCAATTGGGTCACTCGGTTCAAATGGTTCACGCTGTTTAATTGGTTCACTTGGTTTACCGTACTCGTTGTTAACATCATCCCATGTAGTACCTAAAACAAAGTGTTACCGACTGAAATATGAAATAATTAAATCTTAAGAACGACGTAGCTTTCATCGTTTATGTATTTATGTTTAGTTCAATTATTTTTGACATTTTCATGTCTTAGCTCTGGCACATAACCCTGGCAAATAACCGAAAAAGTTTTTCAGCCGAGTCTGCAACCACGAAAGAGCATTTTAATGTCTCGTTAAAATACCGAATAAATTTAAATTAGTTGTGGAATTATAATTAAAAAAAAAAAAAATTATATGGAGCTTCCAGTTACAGCATAAGGCCAAGGAGATAAAGAAATTATGTACAATCAAGTTTCTGGCTAAAATTGTAGTGTTTATTATCTGGCCAAAAGTAACTTAAAATAGAGAATTAAACTATTTTTAATTTATTATTTAGTTCTAATTTGAACGTTGAACGTACATATCTCTTGTCAAAAAGCGTTACCATAAAGCGTTACCTAAAAAGCGTTATCAAAAAAGCGTTACCAAAAAAGAAATGGGGTTGAAGATGAGGTTGGGGGTGGGAATGGGAATGGGGTTAGGGGTGAGAATTAGCCGGTAAATAACCGAAAAAAAGTGTTACCAAAAAAAGCGTTACGCTGTCACGCGCCACAAGGTAACAAAAAATACGAAGCGACGACGAAAGACAATTATCGGAAAGACCATTTCGAATATTAATCTGTTACGCTGTTATCTGATATGAGATAAGAGATATGATGTACGTTCAACGTTCAAATTAGAACTAAATAATAAATTCAAAATAGTTTAATTCTCTATGTTTTGGCCAGATAATAAAAACTACAATTTTAGCCAGAAAATTGATTGTACATAATTTTTTAATCTCCTTGGCCTTATGCTGTAACTGGAAGCTCCATGTAATTTTTTTTTTTTTAATTATAATTCCACAACTAATCTAAATTTATTCGGTACTTCAACGAGACATGAAAATGCTTTTTCGTGGTTGCAGACTAGGCTGAAAAACTTTTAGCTTTGATGCGGGGCTGAAGAGTTTTTGGTTTTAAAATGCTTTGTTGTGCGTTAGACGCGTTATATGTTATTCTTGAAAAAAATAACACCAATATTTCGTTTTGTCTGGTCTACATATCATTTATCACATTCTTCACATTGTGTTTTATAAATCCAGGATTTTTTCTTTTCCCCTATTTTATCTTTGGTACTACTTAATAGAGATTTTTAGTTATTAATTGTTGATGCAACTAGAGTTATACCGTATTTTTTTTTAATGTTTGTAAACCCGCTTAAAATAACTAGAAAATAAACCATACCCGATCTTTTAAATTTTTCATTGTCCCTCCTACTAAGCGTACTGGTTGTTCTAACTTCCCTTGACCATCTATGCTTATTAAGTAATCTAAAAATCATATTTACATCGTACCCATTAAATTTAGCTGATTCGGTAATTAATTTAAGTTCTTTAACAAAATCATTTTTAACATATCAACTAAAAAAATGCATATGACTTAATTTCGTAGCTTACAATTTGTTTTTTAACGTACAAAGATATTAAATTAAATAATTAGACATTTTGATGGAGAGTTTCCATTAAAACTACTTGGTTAATAAAAAATAATTGTATCATCCTAATCAATCGGTATATTCGGTTATTTATGGTTATATGTATAGTTCACTTTCATTAAAAAAATTATTTTAATTAAAATATATTGTTTAAAAAATGCACAACTTCGCTGACATGACACTGCAATTAATTTTTTTAATTTTTAATTAAATTATTTATCGCCAAAATTATAATAATAATATAACAAAATAATGTACTGTGTAATATTCATACTTAAAAGTTACTACCATCTATAACTTCTCCTACAATGTTATTTCCGAACTCAGTCATAATAATTACTAAAAAGACTATTTTCTCCACATCACCAACCAATATGCTTTGACCCCACTATGACACGACCTCATTGAGTTATTTTGTTTAATACCAAATCTTATATTATATAGTTACCTTTAAATGGCGGATTATCACCTCCACCACACCTGAAACATAAACGTTTATATTTAAAATAATAACGAAGACACAAAAACTCTATAGTTGATGAAATATTTCCAAGTTACCAAAAACAAAAAAAAAAATACTTACGCCACGTATGCTGCCAGACTAAGCAAGAGAATTATTTTAATATTTGTCATGTTAACTGTTATGATATACGTACTAATTCGACTGCACTAAAATATTCAGTGTTTTCAGTACTTATAAGACCAAAGTAAACGATTATGTCTACAAATGATTACACAGTTGGGGATACAGAAGGCCTTAAGTTAGTAAAATAAATAAAAATACATACTAATATCTGTTTTCAAGACCATATAACTGTCTATAAAAAGACTCGAGTTATTTATAATTATATAATTGACATTTTTGTCGATATTAATTTAACGTTCATTACAATGTGAAATTATTATAATAAAAACTATGTATTAATTTAGAGCATAATATTTTACGAAAAAACAAGATATCAGAAATGTTATAAACAAAAACAAAGTTAAAAAAATATATTGTATTGAGTAGCTCATAAATTGTAACCAAAGTTAATTTCAAAACAATTACCTATTTTAACCCATAGTAATAAAATCACTACCAATAAAAACGCATAGTTGCGAATCCAATGACAATGGCAAAAACATGTCTGCTGTTCGCGCTTTTGAATGAAAATTGTTAAATAAAATATTATGATGGAAAAAATTCCAAAAACAGAGACAGTTTTTTCTTAATGTTCACACAAAATATATATTGTTCACAATATTTTGTTGAAGCATTGATCCATGTACAATACATGGTAAACATTTTAAAAACATTTCTTTGCCGTTTTGTTCTCCCCTTATAACAATTTCTGCGGATAGGTTGGAAAGAATTCTTCCAAGGGTCTCACACCTGACGTAAAAACCGACTAAAGTGACGTTGAGACCGAAAGTGGCCTTTCTACAGGACCACTTCACTTGAGACACACCTTCCTCGGCCTACAATTAGCGCCCAGCGCTACTAGTCGGTCCACTGTCATAGGGGAGACCTCCGGGGTGAGCCACTAAAGCCAAGGGTACGCCTGTCTCCTTATAACAAAATAGTTAATTTAGTTTTGCACATTGGTTGAGCTGTTATACCATAAATTAAATATACTATAGATAAACAATGTCCATGTTATGATAAAAAAACGCATACAACACAAATATTTTAGTGTGAATTGGGGACGCTGGTAGTGCTCAATGGTGGGAAGGGTGGTGGAAACGTGCGGCATCGCTAAAAACAGCATAAAACATATTATGTGATCCACTGGCAATCCATTCTGAGCCTTAGTGACAGAAAAACTAACTACAAAAAGAGCTTCCAGCCGTTCTGTATGCATTGTTTATCTATATCATATTTAAACTAAGGTTATAGAGAGAAAATACTTGAATAGGCTGGCTAATTGAAGAATTCAGTGGAGTGGTAAAAAAATTATAAAAAAAAGACATGAAAATAAATTCATTTAAAAAAAAACATAGCGTAGTATAACTCTCAGTATTACACATAAATAAACAGTATCAAGAAAATGCGTTATACTTTTTAATACCTAATAATTAGTCAGAAACTTTCTCATATTATGTTTAAGTAAGCAAACCATTACATACATATTATTATAATATTATATTATACTCGTATTAACCATATTATCTAAAAACTATTACACTTTGATTATAGAAATATCCGCCCCTCTTCTCTTTCATTATATTATTAATTACATATTTTGTTTTAAAAACATGTAAAACGTTTTTTTTTTATAGGTTTTATAAGAATGTACTAATTATTTTGAAAAGTCAAATTTCAAGGTAAATAAATTATGAAGTAAAATGTGGTAAACATTTGATAGCTGGTGGTTATGGTTAGAAAAAAAATAGACATTACCGCTTAGGTGCTTAGCTTTAAAACTTTTTATGTTTTTATAAAACGAAGATGCTCTATAAAATATCATTGGTACAATAATAATATTATACACAACTATTTACTGACAATTTTTTTTTTATGTGGTTTTATCTGTGTCACGGTCACGAAATATAACGCGCAAAGGACAACAATTTTTTTTTACATAGCATACTTCGATACTAATTCGAATAAACAGTGCGATTCGATTCGACTCGAGGTGTCTTTTTTATGGCACGATTGATAAAAACAATATAAGTATAGATATGGAAAATATTGGTTCGTAGTTGTTTTTCGTTTTCTTTTATTTACATGACCGTTGAGAAGAGTGTTTGTATAAAAAATTCGTACACTGCGCAACGAAACAATTCTAATAACAGTTTAAACCGAAAAAATGCCGCTTATTTACATATTTGAAATAAAATTATAATCACCTTATATTTGCTATACTGGGTGATTCACTTCGGGTAAGACACTCATTTTCTGGGGAAGTATTACTATTTTGAACGTGATTTTTTTCCTGTACTGTTAGTTACTTATTGTACTATATTTTATACAGTTTTTTTACTATAAGTTGCGAGTATAATAATAACGACTGTTTCTTGGTAGCCTTAAATTGCAAAAAAGTTAATAATAATAATATTGTAGTATAAATACATATTATTATTATTATTATAATACAAGATGTACGATGGAACCTCCTTCTTTTTAAAAAGCTTACCTAAAAATAACCGATGAAAGTCTATTTTTTTTTTTTTTTTGTAATGTTTTTTAGTAACATAAACTCTATAACATGTATCCAAATTTTCAAACTGATATGTTAAAAAACAGAATTAGAAATTAAATTTGAATGTTTGTTTGGTTCATCCTGAAAAGTTGCAAAAAACGAGATACGACCCTTTTCGTTGGGGCAGTCGATATTCAAAAACGGTGATCGTCGTGTAGACTTTGTCTAGAATTGAAAAACACCCTAACCTAACCGAGGGCCTCTTACACGTCTAAAGACGCAGAAAAGAAGTAGAAAAATAATGTGCACGTGTATTGTTCAAATAATTCGAACAAAAAATGTTTTTATACTAAACGCAAAAAATATCATGATCACTCCATGTAGCAAATTTATCGGTCTTAAAAAAGAAAAACAATAGATATTAGATATGTTGCTTACACATTTTATAAAAGCCATACCACATTATCTGATTTCAACATACGAGTACCTATAAAAATGCATAATATTTAAAGCTACACGGTCTCATGGCAAGATATTTGAGCAAAATTAATTAAAAAATGTAATGAAAAAAAATCATAAACGCATAATACGCTGATAGGCTAAATGCACCGGCATTCTAAACATTGAATCACAACTAACACTTGAAACTTCAATGTTCAAACAACAAAAATTAAGTTTCAAGTTTATGGCAGGAGGAAGGGTGGAGTGTAGTATTATTTGTATCTGCACGCATTTCCCAACCGCACTTCCCCTCCCATCATAACTTTAAAACACTTATAACTTTAAAAATAATTATCCGAAACTGGTTATCGACCAGTCAACATTTTTAGTACATTATTCTGAACTTGACCATGGATGAAATAAGTGTAATACTGATAATTAGGGGAGGGGGTTGCATAAATTAGATGACTGGGGGCGCCAAAATTTCAAATACGGCCCCGTGGTTGGGCTATTTTTAAACAAAAACATATTTTAACAGAACTGAACTACACGGTTGCCATGTAGTTTTGTTTGCATGTAACATAATAAACATTTATGAATGGGTTAAACAGTATTTTTTCTAGTTGACATTATTGTAGACTATTTTTGTGTTAGGCCATTTTGTGCAAAACATAATTTTGTTTGTAGATATTTAAAAAAATGAACTATTTTCAAAACATTGAATCATGGATATGCTATAGTATTATGGTCCGGATAACCACCATGATTTTTTTTATGAGGTACAACTATACTCGTATGTATACTGCAAATCGAAGTAAGATATTTTCGTATATTGTGTAATTTTTGTTTTTTAAACTCCTCTCTCTACAAGCGTCTTGACCGTTGTCCTGTTCTCCAGCAGGTTGGCCTTAAGCTCCGCCTGCATCAGACTCTTCAGAGCCGTCTCGTTATGCCTTTGAAAATCCATAAGCCAGTCAAGTCCGCTCATAATCTTGCGATAAGTGTCGGCCCTCGTGGCCATTGACTTCTTTTTAATTACTGTTAAGTCCGTCGAAGAGGAGGAGGAAGAGTTCCGCTCATCGGTCTCCTGCTTCCTCTTGGAAGTAACAAAGCTTCTTTCAACAGCCATTAGACTTCTTTCGCTGTCCACGATAGCCCAAAAACATATCCATGTTAAACAATTTGTGCTCGTTTATACGACTGTAAACATTATTTGGTTACCCAAATCGAGCCTGCGATTTAATAACGTGCACCTAACGTCGAAAAATACTGAGTCTTTAGAATTTCATGGCCTCTCTGTATAGAAGCAGTGAAAAGTATAATAAAATATGTAACTACGAGTGTAGGGAAAAAATAATTTTTCAAATGTTCATATTTTCTGAGAAATTGAATGTCTTACAAACAGATATAGCACACTGTATAAGCTTTAAAATAAGTATAGCGAGTACACTCATTGTATTAGCCTCAAAGTCCCTTTTACACACTACACGTGCAATTTCTAAGAACTCAAACTCTACTAAAATTTTTAAACAAAATTCAACTATCTTTGGTCAAAATGGTTTATCGAGGGATTCCAAAGTGTACTATATGAGTGAAAAATTCTTTTACGTAAAACATTAAAAGGAAATAATCAGAACTCCACGTCAGAGTTATGTAGATATGTAATCATATTGAAAAAAATAATCCAGCTGTGCAAATACAACATAAAGGCACACTGCAAAATATGATTTGATTTTACTTTTCGGTTGAAATTGAGTGTGTAGACAAGAGGCAAGAAAGACACCAATGCATCAAAAAAGCCGATCGTTTTCTTAAATTTGTAATAAATTTAATAATTTAAGACGTAAGTAACACCATCAAGCTTTAAAAGTTTTATGTACGCTTGTAATATTATAATATAGGTAAATTTGAAAATAAATTCATTTGAAATGTATTTTAGATAAAAAATTTTATTTTATTTTTTGTGTCTTGAATACATTTTGTTCAAGTAAAAATCGAATTATAGATAGGTATTAAAAATAGTTTTTTTAAATTATTCCAACAAATCTCTCTCAAAAAAATATATAAGTATATAATTTTTAAGGTTATAGTATCCCTAACCCCCCCCCCCCTTCTGATCTATCTCCGCCAACGGTCATGCGATTTCTCAAAAGCAAACATAGTTTAAAATTAAGTTTTATAAAAATGCACGACAATGCTATTTTGTGGAACATGCAAAGTTAATTTTGAATGTATTATTGTGTAGTGTAGCATACTTCATAATAGTTTGGAATGCTCAATGTAGCATTATATTGGTATTAATATTAATATGCGATTGCAATTATTGTCATCGTGGTTATGTCGAAACCTTTGGTGTTGGGTGTCCTGGGCCCGTCGGTTGACACGAGCCAATCGCCTAGTTAGTCAGTCGAAATGCAGTAGTACGTTACAGTGGAACCTCTTATAGCTACAGAAACTCTTAAAAGTTAAGTTTTATTTTAAAAGTGTAATCCGTATTCAACAGTATAAGTTTAATAATAAAAATCTACAATTGATTTTAGTTCATAAATCATATTGGTTATTCTTTCTTTTTCAAAAACACCTTCTTTTTGTCCGGCCTATCCATTTACATCATCCGGTGGCAACGGTAACCCATTATAACAGTGGGCGAACTTACGGATTCCGGCTTTAAAAAAGGGGTGTCTGTTTGCCTTCGAGGTAACCAATTTCTTTTTACATAATATAATAGTGCGAAAAGTGTGCCTACGCCGTTTAGTTTCGTGTCGAAAAATTAAATATCATTCATGATGAAGTTAAATATCATTTTCAAAATTTAATTTTGTTTAAAAATAATTTTTTTAAGTTCGCAAAAATAACAAAATCTCACAGAACACGTTATTTCTTACTTAAACTGAATTGTTTCGCGAAACAAGCAAAATATGAGGAAGTATCCACTGTATAAAAAAATCTGAAAGAAATAAAAAAAAAACTGTCATCCCCGCCGGATAAATGGTGTTCCAAATTTGGAAAATTTTAATATAAATTAAAACAATTTGGCTGAAATTTAGTCAATTACTTTTTAAACAAAATGAGTATCAGATTCATGTTGCTCACACACAGAACTGGAATGGTAAGGTCAAATTCATGAGTTTTAAGGTTCCTTGAAATTTGTCTAAGTTCAAAACCTGTTTTCAAAATAGTCTACTTAAAATGTTTGCCTTATATATCTCTTAACATTCAATTTATTACACAGCCCCCTGTTTTTGGGCCTCCACTTTAAAGACTCTATTTAATCTCATTTTACGAAAAATGAGAATAAAACACTAATGGGCAAATTTATGCAAAAGAAATGGTAATATTTAAAAACTAGATTAAATTTCCTTTAAAACCAATACAACCATACAATACTCATTGCGCCACTCTTCGCCCCTCTTATACTTTTTTCTTCTAAAGTTACAAAACAAAAATAACAAGACAATTTTTTGAAAATTTTCTTTAATTTTTATTCGTACTTACCTTGCTTAAAAGCATCCATATCAAAGTTTTACTGCTTAAATATAACTATTTTAAAAATAACTTCAAAATAGTCGTAGTTGTAATAATTATTACAACTTATAAGCAACAGAATTGACGCTGATAACAATGCGAGATAACATAAATTTGTTCAACCATGTCTTAAAACTGCGTCTTAAAAAGTATAAAATAACCCTCCAGGGGTCTTGATAACCATATAGGACAGGTGAACTAGAAAAACGTGAGGCGCATCTTTCTACTTAGATATTAAGACCTAAGCTTTCATGCTAATGCATTAAGTTGTCTCTCATAATGCTGTCTCTCTAACCGAACGGATCAGAAAGTGATAGTATGACTTTTTATCGGAAATGAAATTTAATGGATTTCCGTGCCACTTGCCTTAAATTTCATTGCAAATTGAAAAGACTTAATTGCTATTCTCTCCAAAGTTTGTTTTATGTATGTCGCTCATCAACCACGTAATATTAACGTTTTTATCTTTATTTTAAATAATATAATTACTGTCTAGCTATAGGTATAATTATTTTTATAAGTATGATATATGCTGGGACCTCCGCCCCCATGTTTATATATATCTGATTTAAGGTTTATTTAATATTAGCTCATTATTATTAATTTTATCATTAGTTTTTTTTTTGTTTTTATATTTTCTCTTTTAGTCTATCCATCCTATTCTCCTCTCTTGAGCGGCTACATAGCCGGCATATTTACGGGTGCAAACAATATGCCATCAATTAGGGGATTGTAGCCCCGGAACACTAGGGGAAACCGACAGTTTTCTAGTGCAGTGTAGTAATACTTTATTAAAATCTGAGTCACCTGAAAATCTTTTCTCTAATTTTAATGAAGCAGGCCTATCCGAAATACCTACTGTAAAATATATTCCTAGCGCAAAGTCTTCACAGCCGAAATTAGAAGAAAATCAAGAAGTTCGACCAGATAACAATGGCTCAACCATCGTACATGACTGTTGAGCGGGCCCTTCGAGTGATTCCGGTATTCGATGCAGAGAGTGTAGACGCCAATCAAGCATTTCAAAATGCTTGTGATTTTACAATATTAAATGTTGATCCGACGCAAATGAACAACTTTAGAAAGGAAATTACAACGAGGTTAACAGACAAAGCATATAAGGCAATTCGGTACAAGGAAATCAAAACATACAACGACTTAGTCAATGCATTTAATGCAACCATAGACAGGAAACATACATTAGCTCATTTACATTCTAAACTAGCTATGTCCCGGTTAGCACAAGGTGAGACAATTCAACAGTATTCCGATAGAGCAGAGCAACTTTTTTACGACATCCTAGAAACATCTATGTCTACAGGAGGATTGGTTAATCAGTCGGAATTCAGTTGTACATTATAGAAGAACCTTTTATAGTTACAGAAACTTATAAAAGTTAGGTTTTATTTTAAAAGTGTAATCAGTATAAGTTTAATAATAATGATCTACATTTTATTTTAGATCATAAAACATATTGGTTATTCTTTTTTTTTCTTCAAAAACACCTTCTTTTTGTCCGGCCTATCCATTCACATCAATTGGAAAATATATGTTGTCATATTTTTTAATAAGGCTTATAATTTTATATCTAATATTTTTTTATAAAACAGATATTAAATACTTTCTAGTAAGTTATTCTATTTTGATTATAACATATAGACTTTAAGTTTAAATCTATGATGGGTCAAGTAACAAGCAGTATGCGTAGTTCAGTTTAGACGTATGAAAATTAGATGTACCTACAATATTTTCAAAAAAGTAAACTCTATATTTTATGATATTTATTAAAATGATAAATACATTTTTATGCTTTGTATTTTAAATAGTTTAACTTAACTATTTCACACAATAATTTTTAAACAGTAACAGAAACCTATTTTAGCTACTCGCTTTTTTGTCAGTCCGGTACAGAATTTTAAATATATTTTAAGTCTTTATTTTAGTTTTCAAATCTCTAACCCATCGAAAAGTTGGTTTCAAAAGCGATTTCACGCAAACAAGACTAGAAATGAAAAACAAATACTATTTAAATAGAAACGTTTTTTTTTACAGATTGCCTAAAAAACTAGTCATGAATTTTTTATAGCTATGAAAATACTTGTAAGATTTAAAACGAAATCGTGGGGCACATGCAATATATAGTAAAGAATGTAGAGTGTGTAACGATCGTTGAGAAAACTCACACAGCACTTCATATAATTTTCAGTGCTATAAAACTACTAGCGACTTAGGTGATTATTCATGCATCTGTTATATATTGCATGCACCCCACGTTTTCTTTTTAGATCATACAACTATTCTAATGGCTATTAAAAATTAATTTTCACAAATTTTCAGGACAACCTGTATGGGGTTAGGAATCTGTCTGGGGCCACGATAAATTATTTAAAATTTTTTAGACCGTTTTATTACATTTTCCTTGTAAATTCACCAAACTACCGATTTTGTGCATCTTTTTTATGGTTTACTAATTTAAACTTCGGTCCAGTAAAGTACTTTTTAAGTACGATTTTTATCTTGCTATATAAAAAACAGCTATTTTCTCTTAATCTTACCTTACCTAATGGAAAAAATTGAACCCTGAATATGTTGATGGCAGTGTCCCATATGTCCTTTCCCACCTCTCCCCTTTCCTCTCATTATCTGCAATATCTTTATTTTATGTGGAAACGTAGTCCCATTATTTAATAATTATTATTGAATGACTAGCAAAACAAAATATAGCCAAATAAAAATCATTTTAGTAATCTAGGAAATATTGTGGGTTTTGCCAAAAAAAAATCAAAAAATTTTTTGTTAAATAAAAAAAAGACTTGTAATACCAAAATCATCTCATCTCTAATGGCGTCTGTGACTAATATAAATTATAATTTTGTTTATTATAATTACAGGGAAATATGAACATTTTTAGCTTTTTAATATCATTCGTCTTTGTAAGAGTTTCAACTTACAGTTTAAGTAATTATTTCATATCCACATTTACCTGATTTTAGTAGTTAAAAATTAGTAAAGAATCAATATTTCACTTTTCTTACAGAAAATTATATAAAGGATGTTGTCATTACAAGTCAGTACAATTTTTTTTTGTAATGATATATTTTTAAATATATAATTTAACTGTTTTTTTTTTTATATTTAATTTAAAATATTTACTACAGACGCACACATCAAGCTTGCTTATAATATGAATAATATTACTACAAAAGATAATGTTGTAGCAGCAAGTAAGATATATATTTACAATTATTATACAAATATATAATTGTTTGGTATAATTTTTTGACTGTCGAGTTGTTTATAAATTAAAAATTATAGTTTGTAGAAACAGTTCGAAAAGTTTATAAGATACATAGAACAATTTTTCTAAATACTGCGTGTTTTATTAAAGTTATAAAAATAATTTAGATTTAGATTTAGAGTAGTAGTGGTTATTAGTCATATTTTAAAGCAAGGTGTAAGCAAGTGCTTATTCTGATGATTTATATCAGTACTATGATTTTGTTTAAAAATTGTATGATAGCTAAAACCTTTATTTATTTATTCCAGATGGATTGGAGCATGTACTTAAAAAAATTATTGAGAAAACTGACTATGATTTAGGTAGATATAATTTTATAGTAAAACAAATAAAGATAAAAATAAAATATATATAATTGATAATAATTATAAGTATTATTAGTGTAATAATATAACAAATGTTTCCTTTCATTGATGGAAAACTAATACAAAAAATAACATACAAATTGTCACACAACTGCTCCGCAAATTTGTCAGAAATAAAAATTTTAAGTTTTCCTCCAGAATCTAAATGAAATATTTATGAATAATCTGATAATAACATAGTGAACCTCATCTAGCAATTGTATTTTGTTGTAACCGGCACATCTCCTTCAATTTAGCAATTTTATTTTCATAAACTTTTTTCCAGTTTATATAAAAATAATATAAAAATTAAATCGTGGCCATTATTATATGTAATGTTAATTTTAGGAATGATGAATAACATGATTGCTATACCGGGTAATATTTTCAATGTATATTATTTCCACACAGTTGATTGGTATTCACAGTACACAATGTTTTTTTTTATTTTCAGAATATCAATATCTTAACAGCTGGATTGGTAACCACATATTTAAACTGTATATATTTTGCAATACTTTACACAAATATATTATTTGTACATATAAAGAATAATCATAATATATTGTATATTATATACATAAATATTGGGTTCAATCACAATAAATAAATAGTTAACATGTATTTTATGTAAATTTACAGAATGCAAAGGTTCCCAAGCAACTTTGCGATTAGAAATACAAAACGAGTTAGGTAAATATAACATTTAACATTTTTAAGCGAATATTTTCAAAATCTTTTATTTCTTTATTCTAAAGAAAAACGTACTTAAATAAGACGAATTTTATTACGTTTTATGTTATTCGCATAAGCTTAGATCAAAAAACAATTTAAACAGTCAGCTCAAAAGTTGCAATTAGAAATAAGTCAATATCAACACGATAATTTGCATTAGTTATTTGATCTAATAATATTTCAGTTTTAAGTGGTTTTTATTTGATATTATATATATATTTGTTACAGACATTGCTGTTCCTAAAATTTCAGACCGAAATATTTTTGCACATACTCGTAAATAGCCTTGTTTGAATTAAAATGTATATTAAATATAAATATGAACAATTTCTTGGCTAAACGATTTAGGTTGACGAATGCTTGTGGTTTAACAGAAAACACATAATGCAGCCGTATGAGGAAGTTCATTTAAAATGTTCTGGAACCTACTTTTTTCATATAAACCTCGGCCGTTAGGGGTTTTGCCTCTTGTGCACTTCCAGTTTTATCTATTATTATAAGATGTATAGATGTTTTTTTGCATTAAGGTACATATAATTGAACATAATCTATTAACCCAATGTGTCCTTGGATATATTTCTGAATAGGCCAAAACATTATTAGCAAAAATTAAAAATTCTAAATGTCTCAAAAACAATCAAACGTAATATACAAACATTTGTAATAAACTATGACGAAGGAGGCGATGTTGAATGTTTTAAGTATTTAGGATCTTTTTTACAAATGAACAGTGAAGATGATAAGGATGTCAAATATAGGATTAAGTGTATTAGGATTAACTGTAGAGATACGTCAGGTGTTTTATGTGCCATAAATATTCAGATAAAACTTAAAGGTAAGTTTTACAAGAGTGCAGTAAGACCTACTATGCTGTATGATTCGATTTATAAGCAGTTGGCAGTAAAACATAATAGAGAATTAGTGTATAAATAAATTTAAACAAAACACAGCTAAACTATGCTAGTATAGTAAGATTATTTACTGTTTTTTATGTAAAAATATTATGAAACACTTATTTGAATAATAATTATTTTTATCAATAATATTATATTAGTCATTTTTTATTAACACCGTCATTTTATCATGTTTGCAGATTTAAGAAGCTTATATTTAACAGAACTTGGAGAGGAAAGAAGAAAATTTACTCAAACAGCTTTAAAAAATATATTGAACCGGACAATAAGTAAATATTAGTATAGAGTTGTAATGGATGTTTATCTTTTATGTATATAAAAAATTATTATGAAAAATATTTATTTTTATGTATATTGCGTGGGGGGAGGTGATCTGAGGTGTTGGTGAGGGGGACAGCAAAGTACATCAAAGAGTCGATGGAGTCATTGCATTAACCAACCGTTTAATTTCACGTTTTTTTGGCCCAATTTCGTTATAAAAATTAAAATTTAATCGTTTAAGCCACTTGTAATAAAATTCGAATAAAGTAAGAATACTTTATTAAAACTTCAATACTAGTGGCTGGTTGTACAAGCAAATTAGTACTATCAAAATTCTTTCAAATTTAATGCAAATAAAAACCTATTACAAGCAACTAAATTATTTTTTAACGAAATAGTCGTTTATTAACTTTTGCAGATTATGGAGACCCAGAAAATGTGACCAAGCTTATACAAGAAAGAACAATTCATGGGACAGACGCTTTAGAAAATAGATTTTTCCGTGCATTAGGTAAGTGGCGTATAAAGTTGGAATGGTCTTAAACCATTATTTAATAAATGTATACCCATAAATTAAATGCGCATATTAACGTCAGTTGTTCTACAAGTTGTGTTATTAGGATAATTTAATACAATATATCAAGGATACAACTAGTTTTATTTTTTGGCAATGAACTTAATAAGTGATAACTAGAATAGACATTTTTTATTTTATAATAATATCTAGACTCTACAAAGTACTAACACATACTTTTATAAAATACAAATAGCTGCTTAATAAGAACAGCATACATATTTTATTATTATTTTATTTTTAAGTAACGTAGTTTTGTTTTTTTAAATTTTTTAGCTGGACCTGAAAAGGAAATATCATTATTATGGACATGCAGTTTGATAGCATTGTTCATGAACACAAAATTTCCACGGTTTTATATAAAAGAAATTGAGACTAACTCTAATGATACGTCATGTATTATGATATACAATGATTACTCTATAAAAAAAACATACAGTAAAATTGAGGGCGAATGGTGCGAAGTTATCGTCAACGAATTAGGCAATGAAGAAGCACAACCACTAAAGGAACAATTATTATAATGATTTAGATTTTATTATATTTAAAATAAAACATTTACATTTTGCATTTTTATCCAAGTTGTTAATTTACAATGGAATGTAATTCAAAATAAACAGTTTTATTCATGATTATAATCATATTTGTTGCTTATGTGTTGGTTTAAACAGATACTATTTATTTTTACCATATTATACACAACCATCTGTCGACAGTTTTCCGCCATTATTAATATCTAGTAAGTTGAAGGTAATTCAGCACAACTTCCATCTATCTCTCTCTGGGTCATCATTGTGATTCTTAGTCAATTATACCATTTCTCGGATCATTCCTTTTAGAGCCTGCCACACGTCATGTTCTTGTTCAATCTCTCCCCATAAAAAAAAAGCCAACCATTTACTAAAAGTCGAATCGGTCGAGTAAGTTTAAAGTACAATAAAAACAAAAATACACAAAACAAATTGTCAGTCTTTTACTCGAAGGAAACAATATGTTGGATAATGAACTTGTCTTAGGACGGAATGAAAGAACCTTTATTAACAGATGGAATGGTCAAAGAAATTAAATCTAATAAACAAACGATGAGTCAGTTTAAGTTTGTTTAATACATATTTGATTGATACTCGGTATCCCGGCTGCCAATGAATGTAGAAGTAAGGCATATAGCACACTACACGCATAGGTCTTTGGTACCCGAACTTGTATTTTTCTTAATAAATTTACAAAGGAAATGTAGGAAAATAATGAAGTGGGATTCACGTTTTCGACAGGTAACCCCAGTTATTTAACTGTAGTATTATGACTATAGTCCAAGGTATAGCCCGAAAACAATTTGAGATTTTTAACTAAAGGAAATATATAAAAGCATGATAATGATTTTGGACATTATTTTGTGTGAACGGTGACTGAGTGCTGTGCCAGCCAGTGTGAAAAATTCATAGGAACTACACCACATCCGGCGGACATATCCTATACTTCAAAGAGAACTATAATTAGCAAATAACTCCTAATTCGATTATCAGTCGAATTAGGGACTGTATGCGATATAAATAAATCTAAGTTTGTGACTACATCTGAGCTTAGAACTTCAGAGATGAAAGACTATTTCTAACAATAAGAAACTAGAGTTGCTCCATTATCTTAATTAATATTTAACATGGAATTAATACGAAAATGCAATATTTTCAAAAAACAAACGTGGGACTATGTTAAATGTCCAAAACTGTGTAATTAAAAACATAATTATTATAATAATATTTATTTGGCGCCCAGTATTTTATTTTAACAATTAAAATTACCTCCGTATTCCGTCAAGCCAATAACGACTTTGAAATATCTTTAAATATAATAATTATATATATATATATATATAAATATATTATAAAAACTAATAATATCCTTAATAGTTCTTGGTATTTTTTTAACTACAATATTTGCGAACTTTCAGTTTACTTCATCTGATATCACACGTCAATTATATTATAAATACTTTTATTTTTTACTAAACAGTATTACTATGTTTCATTGTACCCTATGCCATAATGGATGCAATTATGTGTTATTAAATTTAATAATTTTAAATAAGATACTGACCAATATGTATATTTATTTGTTGTTGTGCGAACAATAGTAGACAATTTCTATGTGTATTATAATGATCACATTGTCAATATCGTTACAAATACGTTATAAATTGAAATGACACATTGTATTACACCCCTTGTAAAACAACTAAAGCCCCTCCTTAAGGTGCGCTTATGCGGCTCTCACTAAAAAATATTTTTATATTCAATACACTTGTAAAACCTAGAAATAAGATGGATATCTACATTTTATGTGGATTCTTCTTGAGTACTTTTTTGCATAACCAAAATACCTAGAGATACTTTATTATTTTTAAGAAGATCCGTTCTCGCCATAATATGTATAAGTAAACAAGACGAGGTGTAAAACCTTTGTTAAAATTATAATACCCTGAATATATATATATATATATATATTTTTTTTTTTTTAAATAAAAAAAAAAGTAATATATGTTATAGCGTTAAAAAAGAAAATCGTCTGAACTTGCGTCAGTGCAATTTGGCAATCATATCAAAAAATAATAACAGCTATGTAAACAATTGCCATTGGCACTGCAATTTTATTTCTATTTCACCGTTTTGGTCGGATACAAACGCTCACCCACAAGCCACAAGAAAATCACTTTAAAGCAATTTAACAAACATATCAGTTGTTATTTTGCTCATGAATATTCGTATTTCAGTAGTTGAAGTTTTTTTTTCACTATAATCCTATTAATCATCCTCTGACATTGTAAGTACATATTTTTTTATACATGATTCAAAGTTTACAAATCATTATTAGCTTCAATGGGTAGCTGAGAAGGTATTGTAATTACAATTATGTGTTTTTATTTTTTTTTTATTTTTGTGTCTGGGCCCACGATATATTTTAAACCGCTTAACCGATTTTTGTGTGTAGCAACTCTATTCATTAGAATAACAATTTAAAACTTTACTTATAATTTCGATTTATAATAACGTGTAAATGTTACATTGGTAAAATAATTTTAAAGTATGCCCTTTTAAAAATGTAGTATATATTATTTTATGAATATAACATGTACTTTGTGAACACCTTAATAGTACTATAAAAATAAAAACGAATGTAATGAAAAATGTGTTCATCGATAATGACATTTAATAAAAACATACATATTTTCTTTTAATTAAAAAACACCAAGTGTAGTCGGGGCATATTAAATCAAAGCTTCTAATAAACTTTGACGGTGAGGTCAAAGGTTTCAAGAATAAATGATTTTGTTTGAAACATTAAGTTTTAAAAAATGATTTTATTCGAATTTTCCAACTTCTTTTATACTTAATTTGTATTGGAATGTTCTGGTTTCTACTGATATAGATTAGGACAGTGCTGTTTTAAATTGTACTTGTTTAGACGGTACTTGGGTTCAACTGTGATTGGCTTAGACTATGCTGGTTAAAACTGTACTGGTTTATACTGTGCTGGATTCTTACAATTTCAATATTGGCATCGAAATGCCTGACTGTGATGAAATCACATTCAAATTTATATATTCCTTTTACCTAACTTTGCTAACTTATATATACTGATTTATACTGTCTACTTAATCTACTTAAGTAGATTTTCTCTCTTAAAGCATTTCGAATTTATTTTAGCTTCGATGCGTTTTATTCGTATTTTACATTCATATAAAAGTATTATACATATTGATATAAACAACTTTTATACATTAATTAATCCAACTGTGAGACGCTATGTCAGTAGGTCGCTATGTGTGAGTGAATTACCAGTTAACAGACACTAAAGATTACCAGGATTAAAAGATATGGTGGGTCCAGATATAAAAAAAAAAAAAATGAAAACCCATCGTTATAAAACCGATATATTCTTAACTCCGGATATGAGATAATAATTATATGGTCACTGAATCGTATACATAACGACTAATTGTTTATTATTATTGGTAGGTAAAGTATGAAACTTTTAGGTATTTTAATATCATTTGCATTAGTTGGGCATGTTTTGGTCACTGAATTAGGTGATTATTAAATTTTTACACGTACCTACAAGAGGTAGTAGAAACCAAAAAAAAATGTGTATCTTACTTTTTTTTACAGATGACTATGCTCAGGAGGTTATCACAACAAGTCAGTATACATTTTTTCGTACAACAAAATATTTTATGTTTTATATTTTTTTTAAATTTATTACAGACAATGCAATCAAGAAAGCAAAGGGTAAAACTTGTTAAAAATTAGAATACTAAATAATACCTAAAAGTAAAATTGAAACCACTTAAAACATGTGATTTACTCTTATTCTGAAATCTTTAATATTTATTAAAATTCTATTTGAAAGATATAAAATAATTTTAAAAAAACATTAACCACAAAAAATAATTAACGTATACAGGGCGATTCTTTTATCATAAACCAGTCAATAACTCACTGGGTTTAATTAATAATTTAATTTTTTTTTCCATAATGTTTTTATACATTGTGATCTCATTTTCTCACAATTTTGTTTGTTTTTACTCCACTCCCAACTTAGTTTTTTTGATAGTAACTTTTAAAACTTAAACACTAATGTATACATTTCATTAACTTTTTAAATTTAGAATAATGTACTTAAAATGTTGACTGCTCAATAACCAGTTTTGAATAACTACTTTTAAAGTTATAAGAGTTTGAAAGTTAGGACGGGAGGAAAAGTGCGGTTGGGAATTGAGCGCTTTTAAAAATAATACTTCACTCCACCTTTCCTCCTGCCCTGAACTTGAAACTTCCATAATTTCAAAAATAGTTGTCCAAAACTGGTTATCAACCAGTCAAAATTTTAAGTAAATTATTCTCAATTTAAAAAGTTAATGAAATATGTGCATTACCATTCACTATCGAAAAAAACTAAGTTGGCAGGGGAGAAAAAACAAAAAAATTGGCAAATTGAGATCAAATTGTATAAAATCATTATGGAAAAAAAAATCAATTATTAATTAAACCCAGTGAGATATTGACTGGTTCGTGATAAAAGAATCACCAGTGAAATGAAATGAAAAAGGGGAAACGAAACTATTGAGGACATAAAGATTACAACGTGAATAATGTGATAAATATTATATAGGCCGGACTATAGAAAATACCAGAATTATATTTAAAACACACACGAGTATAAGAAATAAAGAATTTCATAAATCTCTAGTTGCGTAACGTTTATTGAATAAAACATGATATTCGAGGGGCGTTAGAATTGTTAAGAAATAAAAACACTAGTAAATTTAAAAAAAAAAAAACACTTTGTTAAACTAGAACTTAAGTCTTTAGTGTTCTGGTTATTATAATAATAAAATTAAAACATCTAATTAAATTAGAAATGAAAGTGGAATATATTAACACTTAATAAGTTGCCTTCGGCCGTGCATGTGTATTTTATATTGCTAATTCGTCACGAAGTTTCCAGAACATTCCATATGTAGTCGCTACAAGTCTATTATAAAACATTTGACTAAAACTTGTATGATCACGTCTTAACGATGAACCATTAATGATTTCGGTGTAAAAAATAAAAATAAAAATTCCAGTGTGACGCTGCTGTACACGGGGTGTATTATTTTTTATGGTTAAGGTTTTTTTTTTTAGTTATTAATTTATTCTTTTATGTACATCCACAATTTTGCTTAAGTGTTGTCTAGATTTTTTTTAGAGTCAAACTATTATTTGTTTTTCCAGAATTCATGCCGCAAATAATTAAATACATTATTATGAACTATGATACATATTGGGCAGGTAATCAAAATTATATAATAAATAAACATTTAACATATAATAATGATTGAAAGCATGCTAGTAAAATAAAATTATTTTAAAACTGTATAAATTATGATAAAATCTTAAATTTTTAATGTTAATCTAATGTCTAAACGGAATCTTTCTGCCAAAAAACGCTAAAGTTTCTGACTTTTTTTAAAGTCGTCTAATCATTATATTTTATTCTACATATCACATTTAATTCAGTTTAGCAATTTTATTACCATAGTCATCACTCGATTTATTATAATAGATCCAATTACATTTTTAGCAAGTTAATTATAAATCAAATAAAAATTGAAATCCAGTAAATATAGAGTAACACTATTATTTTATGTTTAATTTCAGAGGCAATGGCCTATATGGTGTCAGTGCCGGGTAAATAACTACCAAAACCTTGTATACAAATATATCACATGTTTTACGATATCCATCCCCTCCTAACTCTAGCTTCTTACTGAAAACAAAATTTTAAATTTTTACTGTCGAATAAAAAAAAAAATGTTCACGAGTAATTTTTAAAAAAATGTTAGTATTTCATCAAAAAATCGGATGTTACATGACACTCTGAACACTCCGTATATTGTATGTGCTAGTAAAGAAAGTGAACGCAGAGAAAATAATATTTCTTTTTGTTACACATTTGTACGCAGACTAGTTGTAGTACACGCGTGGCCACAAGTTGAAGGACGTGAACACACTATAATTTTTGCATTTTTCTTAAAATTTTGTTTTTCAACGCCTTCCGGTCATCCAACATAGTTGAATGTTAACATATTTGAACTTTGTTCTTACTGGGGATCCTATGTCCCACACATTTTTTTTTAAAATAAAAAATCATAGAATGTAATGTCATGAAATAATAAATTTAAACTATGTTAATTACAGAGGTACTTGATGTTGAATTGGAAGAAAATGGTAATATTTTTCTAAACGTTTTATGAACATATTTAAACATAGTTGTTTGATATATATTATTAACAAAATATTTTTATTTTTATTTCAGATGACTCAGATTCTGCCGGTAAAATATGATATTATTTTTCAACATAGTTATTTGATATTCGTTAAGTACAAATTCGTGTTACGTTTTCTCGTCACCGACATAAAGATAGATGTAATTATATTATTTATTAAGAAATGGATCAATAGTTGCCGCGACCGAAAAGGTTTTACGACTTTTTTATATATTTTTAAGGTTTTAAGGTTAGGTTAGGTTTTACGACTGAAGTTTCCTTCTGGATCTTTCTTGACTAGAACGTCCAAAGAAAAAAACTTGTTATATTTTCTCAGTTTTCATTGTATATATCGTTGGATATATTATATCCATGTACACTGTTTAAATGGCTTAATACATTTTTAATTTGTCTTTTCCACTTTGCCATTAAAAATAATTATAAGTTGTACAATAGTTTACATTGCTTAATTTAATTTAAACTATCTTAGTTTATTGTAACTGTTATAGAGGAATTATAAAAAACTGCATTTTATTGACTGTATTATTATCATATTATATTTTATTACAGGACCTAGTCAAACTCAAATTCTAGATCTAAATCGTGATCCGCCCCCTGATGAAGGTAATAATGAATTTATTTTATAGTCATAAATATTCCTTACGGGTAAGATTACCAGATAAAATGTATGTATGTTAATCGATTGGTTTCTAGGAATTGACTTATTAAAGCGATTGCCTGTTGGTTTTATCATATTAATCCATATTCAGTTAATAATGTAATGTTAACAAACCGGTTTTTATTGATTAATACAAATTAATAATGTAATTATCAAACTACGCCATAAACGTTTTACTCTGTAATACAAGTTACAACCAGAATAGAAACAAGCGGTTTTGCAGACAGGATTTAAAAATAATATTTGAAATAATATACCATCCATTGTATCAATTGATTTCATTTCGGAGCAGATAAAAGCGTGCGACTACATAGCGTTCGGGTACACGATGATGCCAACAAAACAAAATAACACTAATTTTTCAATTCTCATATCTGGTACACCGTTGAGAGAAACAACCTTAATTAAAGCTAACTGTCCGACGGTCGGGTTGCCTACATGACACAGTGTACACATTCAGACATATTTGTTATAAAATTCAAAACAGATTATATATTCAATACAAACAATAAAAATAAATCACATAATATACAATAATATATAAAGTAGTCTTAAAAGACAATAATAAAATAATATAATTCAAAACATGATAGTTTAGTTAAAAAGTAAAAAAAATAATAATTTGTACACTTTAATATTTCTTTTAATTATCTTAATTCAAGTAAATTAATTTTGAAAAATTCTCTGAGCAGAGGCGTTGCGGTTTCACGTGCCCCGAACCAAAGGCCATAGACTTTCGCAGTTGCTTCTTTGATAACGTGCTTAAAAAAATGGAATGGGTGGCTCGTAGATGGATTTTTTTTCTTCGTCCACTAGCTTGTTTTGGGTTTCTTCGTTTGTTTCCCGTCGAAACGTTGGGTCCAGTGTTTTCCCTTATTTTTTAACCTGTCAAAGATTTCTATATCGGTCCGTCTATTTTGGTGACTGTTATTATCAGTATATCCCAAGCAGTGTACCTCTTCGTATATCTACAATCCTTTTTTTATTTTAATTTCAGATGTCTCAGATTCTGCCGGTAAAATATGATATTATTTTTTATCATAGTTATTTGATATTCATTAAGGACAAATTCGCGTTACGTTTTCTCATCCCCGACATAAAAATAGATGTAATTATATTATTTATTGAGAAAGGGATCAATAGTTTCCGCGACCGAAAAGGTTTTACGACTTTTTTATATCTTTTTTCATTTTTATTTCTTCCATATACTTATGTACATATGATTTTTAAATAAGAACTTTACTGAGTTAACGAGGGATGTACCAAGAGTGACAATCTTAAGATTACGTACATTCTTACAATTTTTGTGGCCAAAGTATTGTAGCAACTTACTGAAATTTCTAATATATATATTAATTTTACCTCATAAAAAAAACAATAGTTATGGTTATACGGACTGTAATACTAAAGCATGATTCAACGTTCTTCCGTCGAGCGGAGAAAATAAGTGGGTTTTTCCTGTGAATCCCTTTACCGAAGTTTCCTTCTGGATCTTCTCGACTAGAACGTCCAAAAAAAAACTTGTTATATTTTCTCAATTTTCATTGTATATATCGTTGGATATATACATGTACACTGTTTAAATGGCTTAATACATTTATTAATTCTTTTTCGCCATTTTGCCATTGTACAAAAGTTTCATCCACATATCCAAGCCTAATTAATTTTGGTATCAAACTGCTATTTTTAACGACTGCTCTTAAAATCATTCCAAGAAAAGGTTAGCAAAAACTGGAGCTAGTCATGTAATAAACGGCTGATTTGCTATACATTTCTATTACTTTGTGTAGGTTTTTATCTAACCATTTCTTCTCCTTTTAAATTTCTAACGGCTTCTTCTAGAACCATTGTGGCCATAGAGACCTCGTTAAAACTGACAAGGTAATCTCCGTGTTCCCATTTTGCTTTTTTTATTTTTTTCCACATTTCCCGCGTTGAGTTCTGTAGGATGTGGTTTTTCCTACTTTTTCTTGCAGTATCTTAGCATATCAATTTTGCTTTTTGTTTTGACGATAGGCCGTAATTTAAATCTTTAACTCAAACGCGGCTTTTAAGTATAATATTAGGTTGTACAATATATTACATAAAAAAATTTATCATACAAATATATATACTATATAAATTTACATTACTTAATAAAATTTAAACAATCTCAGTTTAAAGTAACTGTTATAGAGAAAAGATAAAAAATTGTGTATTAATGACTGTATTATTAAAATACTATATTTTATTACAGTACCTCGTCGAACTGAAATTCCAGATCTAAATCTTGTTCCACCCACTGTTTCCGATGAAGGTAATAATGAATTTATTTTATAGTCATAAATATTCCTTACGGGTAAGATTACCAGATAAAATGTATACAGGGTGATCCATTTATCGTGAACCACTCAAACAGTCATAGAGTTTAATAAGAAATTACATTTTTTTTCACATTGTTTTTATACAACGTGATCTCAATTTTTCACATTTTTTTTTGGTTTTTAACCCCCCCCCAACTTAGTTTCTCAAAATTGACTTACTAAAGCTATTGACTGTTGGTTATATCATTGTATCAACTAATTTTGTTTCGTAGCAGATAATAGCGTGTGACTACATAGCGTTCGGGTACACGACGATGCCAACAAAACAAAATGACACAAATTTTTTCATTTCTCACATCTAGTACACAGTTAATGAAGTTAAAAAAAAAATTGTAAAAAACCTAAATTTGGTATTTGAGTATCAAAATTAATAGTATCGTTCTAAATAGATGTCCATAAAAATGTTGTCTTGAGAACATTTTTTTTAGATTTAAGGTGTTTATGTTAAAATATACAAAATCTCCATCACTATTTACCAAGATTAAAAGCTCGATAGTAAAACCACTCACACTTGATTACTTACCTAAGTATCCTATTTTTTTACAGTCAAGTGAATTAATATTTCGAAATAAATAATGACATTTGTCGGTAATACTTACTATAGCACAAATCTAAGATTGTTACATTTAACTACAATTTTAAAATATAGTTATTTGTTATTCATTAATTACAATGCGTTTTTATTTTAATTTCAGATATTAATAACCCAAATTCTGTTGGTAAAAAAATAATACATCTTAAAGGTAAACATATAATTATAATATTGATTGTTATCATTAGAAATGATTTGCATTAAAATTGATTATAAATTTGAACATTAGAAAAGTTAAAGTACCAGAAAATGATGCAATTAGCAATACTTGCTGTAACAGGTAAATAAACAATTTAACGAACATTTGTACAATAGACCACATTGCTTAGTTAAATCTAAACAGTTTCAGTTTAAAGTAACTGTCATCGAAAAATTATAAAAACTATTCTTTTTTAATTTATTTTTTAATAATGTTATTAAAGGTAAACATATGTTTACAATATTGATTTCTATCATTAGAAAAGATTAACATTGAAATTGATTTTACTTTGAATATTAGATAAGCGAAGGTACATGGAAATTATGAAGTCAGAAAGTGCTAAGCCAGGTAAATAAAAAATTTAACTTTTTGTACGAAAAATTATTTTACTACTAAAAAATAGTTGTTCTAAATAAAAATAATAAATATATGATTGAAACTAAATTGAAACCCTATATTTTTATTTATTTTGATGATCCTTAAAACAGTGTCCAAATCGTTATTTCAAACAAGGCTCTTACATTATGGTCCAACTGTACTTTTAATAAAATTGTGAAGTACGCTAGTAGATATTATTGTAACACCAACATTTTTATTAAATCTAAACAATCTCAGTTTGAAGTAGCTGTTATAGAGAAATTATAAAAACTGTTTTTTTATTGACTTATTTATTGTTTTATATTATTTTCTTACAGACGCAATTCCAGGTTATACTAAAGATCTACCTCGTCCGTCTGATTTCGAAATAAGGAATCATAAAGAAGGTTAGAATTTGAAACATTATTCAAATCGTTAATTCAGACGAAGCTACTAAAAGTTCTTGCATTGATCGAATCGACTAAGTATTTTTAATTTTAAGATGACTGTGATGGTTAATATTAAAAAAAAATATTTGTTTTAACCTAATTATTGTTTGATATTTTATATTTTTTATCCGTATAGTACGTTGGTTAGTCTATATGTCCTGCCAGTCTTATTTACCGAGACATATGAATTAAAAAATTGATTATACTCTTTAAAAGGTCAAAATGCGGCTAACTAAATTAACTTTGACTTTGACCCACATAACTGCATTAAACAAAGAGAAGTGCATAAATAGTATATTTTGGGGACTAACGGTAGATTGTACAATAATTGGTAAAATTTCATTTGTTCAATATTATGTAGTGCGACGCAATCACGAGCAATTAATTTTTTTTGTATTTTTATTACCTATTATTATCACGGTATTTTATGTTTTTTCGCAGAAAATTTAGGTAGTCTCATAGAAGAGAGAAGAATTAATCCCACAGCAGTTCCTAGATATAGAATCATCCGTGCATTTAGTAAGTATATATATATTTATTTATAATGGTTTTTAAAACACTATACATATTATATTTATGCTAATGAAAATAATCGATTTGAAACAAAAAAATAATGTCTGTTAATTAAGATATCTTTATATTCATTAGTATACTAACTAATGGTAACGTTATGATTAAAATTATTTGTCTTCCCTTATGGGGTGTGTTTGAATATCAATTATTTTCTAAAGGGTTTAATACAAACAATTCACAACAATATATAAAGGATACAACTTACTTTAGTTTATGCCAATTATCCTTATTGTAAAATATTATCTTTTTAAGTATTTTTTCAATTTTAAAGAGATGGGAACTTTTTTAAAAATTGTTAATTTTATATAGTACTTAATAATAATAATGGAATGGTTGTGCAATAATTGACATAACTAAATATAATTCGAATTACTTGGAAGCAACTCTGTATTTTTTATTTGTTATTCAGGCCTGACTTCTTTGGGAAAAGAGAGAAGAAAAATTACTTTAGAAGCTATAACATCATTAATACGTAAATATACATATAATAAGTAATTTACAAACCTTCATTCTTATCGCAGTTATACACACATATACTATAGTAGTAAAGATCTGACACAACATGAATATCTGAACCCTTTTTTCTAGCATACATATAAGTTTTATTTTGTAAATTTAGAAAATTAGTAAGAAATGAGCTAAATTCGGTTATTTTTTGTTGAAGGGCAAAACGATCCAGTTTTCCGGGATTTGTACATGATGTGTCGTTTAGCAGGTTTATTTAGAACTATTAAATATCCGCATGCATATATAGCCTCCGTTGGTATTGACGAAGAGTATTGCTATTTATTGGATGTATTCAAAAAGGAAGGTTTCATATATAAATTCAATGAAGAGGATGGTGCATTTTGGGAATTAACTCCACGTATTCGCGTGCGTACTCTAGTCAGGCCTTTTTTAACTGAGCTCAATAATTTGGATTAGGAATTATAATGATTAACTATTTTAAAGAATTGAATATGCTTTGTTTAGTTGATTTTTTTCATTCCGCACTAATAGAATTTGTCAATAAATTGACAATGTAATAATTATATGTATGTAATAATAAACATTGTTGTATGTATGTGATAATAAACAGTTTTTACCACTATTATAAAAATAATTGTTGCTTATGTATTGTATTCTTATTGTTATTTAATAATTTTTCGCATACTAGGATTATATTATTATAGTGGCGTAAATATTCCCATATTTTGGGAAGTACCAAAAAAAAAGCCGTATAAAAATGATATAATGTCAGAGTTCTAATGGAAAACTAATGCTCATATTAGTGTAGTAAAAACTATTACAACACGTTATAGTCTAAACGGATTAAAAGAAGTTTCTTTAGAATGTTGACCTAACAAATAATCTAGTTATTTTCTCCACTCCACGGAAAATCATTGTATCATGGATATGTTATGAGTTATTACTTATCTCTAATCATCTATCGGTTTTCCTTATCTCCGATCTCTTCAAATAACAATGCAAAATAAGCTAATGAACAGTCTTTAAGAAAATGCTAAACTACCGAAAATTAACGTAAGATTTATCTATAGCTCTATCAATAAATTGTTATAATTCACAGTATAAAGAAAAATAGAATTTTTGAAACGAATAAATAAGCAAGGAAATTATCTAAATCTCCTTGTGTGATTTGAAACTCTTGTGGTAAACTTGAAATGAGTTCTTGTGATTTTGCAATACTGTTTGAAGCAATTAAACCACCATCGACGAATATAGCTCAAATAACTATTTCATTATTATCATGATTTATATACACACATGGATCTGAATCAGTCGGATTAAGATTATATTTTTCTAGAAAATGTCTAAATCTAAAATTCCAATTTCTTGGTGATTGTTTTAATCCGTACAAAGACTTACGTAATCTACATACTCTACCGGAGTTGTCATTAAAACCCAATGGTTGATCCATGTAAATTTCTTCATCTAATTCTCCATGAAGAAATGCCGTTTTCACGTCGAATTGTTTGAGTTCAAGTTTCTTAGCCGCAGAAACCGCTAATATTGTACGTATGCTTTCATATCGGCATACTGGACTAAAAACTTCTCCAAAATCCACGCCTGGTTTTTGTCTTGACCCGTTAACCACCAAACGCGCCTTAAACCCTGTACCCGCGCTTGTCAATAGAGTATCCAACGAAAATACCGCTTCTAGACTTGGCATCTAACTTTTGACGTTTTCCCTTGGGTACATGTACATACACTTTAGTTCCAAAAACTCTTAAGTGATTTATGTCAGGCAATTTATTATAATACAACTCATATGGATTTTTACTGTTAATTGAGCTTTTACCTGTGAGATTCAAAGTGTAATTAGCGTATGATATACTTTCTGCCCATAATGATAAATCCATATTTCTGGAATATAAAATTGATCGACCAGCCTCCACCAACGTACGGTTTTCGCGTTCTGAAGAATTCTGTTGTGGTGTGTAGGCTATTGTTTTCTGATGACGGATTCCATACTTGTTTAATATTCCTAAAACCTGTTTATTAACAAACTCTCCGCCGTTGTCCGAACGTATTGCTATTATTTTATTACCTGTCTCATTTTTAAAACATTTAATAAACAATTCAAGTTTGTCTTTAACTTCATTTTTATGTTTTAAGAAATACACAGTTCTAAAGTGTGAAAAGTCATCTTTAAAAACAAGACAATTTTTTGACCCGCCTAGAGAATCTGTCTGGAAAGGTCCACAAAGATCAGTAAATATTAATTCTCCCACTTTTTGTGATTTGTCCGTACGACTTTGAAATGATTTTCTACTATGTTTACCCATAATACATGCCTCGCATGTGAAGTTATTGTCACTCTCCACCTTAATATTATGTTTAAGTAAACAACTTCTTACGTAACCAATGTTTTGATGTGCCATACGTTCGTGCCACAATGTTAATGAACCCGCTACTAATTAATATCTGTATTGCTAAAATAATTCCATATGAACGCCGACAATAAATGTCATCTGGTACGTTTAACGAAAATCAAGTTTATGAGACTAGGTTTTTATTTCTACACGAAATGCGCGGAAGTAAATAAACCAGAGAATGAACATGAATTTCAAACCCCTGGATGTCTTCATACTTTGGGCATACTTACAATACATATGAGCTATGACTTAAACCTAACCAAATAAAAACCTATTCAAAAAAAAAATGTTCAAAACCATCTTGATCGATAACAATATTGTTGTAACAGCAATCGTGTGAATGTATTATAATCTATAGTATACGTGGTCGCTTAAACGATTGCAACATTTACACAATAATATATGATGTAGGTGCTTATTTTGTACGCGTTTAAACTAATAATTAGACAATGCTTTAGGTGAATCTTTTAACGCCCGACACCAGTTTTCTCATAAGACAATTTATATTTTATAGTTTTTCTTCTAGAAGAATAGCTTCTAGAATTTTCTTGTAAAAGAACGACGTAAATGTTGTCCATAATTACCAAATCTTAATAAACTTTTTGTTAACATCAACTATTTTATTGATAGAATCTCTTATTTTGATTTTCAAGTATCATCGCAAGCACAAGCCAGGTGGTATTGTATTAAACAATATTAAGTCTAGTTCCTTTTACATAAAATAACAACTATTTGTTCTACTATAGTTTTTAACACAATATCATGATATTGACCATCTATTAAACATGTAACTAACTATAATATATATGTTTTTAAATATAATATGAGTTCGTGTTAGTTATCTGGTATAACATTTTGACGGGAGTTAATGTTGTCAGTAAGAGTTTGCAGTATTTTTTGCCGTTTAAGTATTATTGATAAGGATTAATATTATAATTTTTTCCACTTTTTAGACTGCACTTATTGAACATTTTTAAAAAGCCCGATTACTAATATTGTTATAAATAAATAGAAGTCTAAAAGTAGTGAGTAGAAGACAATTTTTTTTACGAACACTTAAAAAATAATTTGTGCGATATAAAGATTAAGCCTTAAGAATAATATTATCGAGATGCTGTGTTAATATTTTGTACAGACAAAATAAATTATACAAAGAGTTAATTTTGTTATTTTTTATATGATTAAGTATTGTATAATGTGCACGAGGTTAGGATATGTTCACTAGCAGTTAAGTGTAAGGTTATCTAACGATCAAGTTCCCGGTTGAAGGTGTTACCTGTAATATCAGCAATGGGTGTTCGGCCATTTTAGCGATAATATACATATTTTTTATAACGTTTCACATCATTTTTTTTTTTATTATATTATTAGCCGTTGAACTATACAACAATTGTCCGTATCGAGTGAATATTGCAAGTGTCGCGTCAGTAAATTGTTGGAAAATGCGTGTAACCTCTAAGGTACCTTTAATTGTTTGTTTTTGCACGTTTGAAATATCTTATCTTATCGATTGGTGTTTTTTTTTAGATTTTCATATTGTGTTTTTCTAGCCGTATTTTTTGCACTGTCCACGAGTGCTGGTCCACTGACTAGGCCAGTATTGTCTAGTTCGACATTCAAAGACGAAAATGGACAGATCGTGTCACAAATAAAGAACAACGTCGTTGAAACATGTTCTTGTCGACCCGTTGACGAGGTTTCCGGACAAACTTTTAATGTTTCTATGGTCGACACAACCACAACCAAACAACCATCGCACAGTGGGAGCAATTAAACGTTTAGTTGCTCAATAATATTGGGTACATGAAAAAACCAGAAAAGTCAGTTTTTTTTAGTCTAGTAATATCATGTTTAAAAAAAAATTAATAAAAAAAGCTTATAAGAAAATAATTAAAAATGGCTACAATCTAAATCGTTATTAAAAAGAGTTGACCAACTTTCTGATATACTATTATTACACATAATTATGTAAAAAAAAAAAAAACGAATAACGATGTGTAAATAAAATAGAATTTCTGTAATTACAAGATAACATAGGAAATATATGCCTATTTGTATATTTTAATACACAATATTAATATAAATTAAAACGCTTACTTATTGCTACATGTTGATCCATTAGCTAGAAAAAAGTTAAATAACTAAAATGTATAACATAAGTGCAAATGCAAGTGCTTGGAACAAATTCAACGATCTGAATGAGCCTTACCTATGTTTATCTGCTCAGTACTTAATGATTACTATATATATATATATTTATCATCGACAGGTATGTGACAACAAAGAATAATGACTATGGTCAATAATTACCATAATAATATTTTTTATTTTTGCCCAACTTAAAGTCTGATACCTCCCACTGTGCGCCGAACGGTAGCTCGAAATGCTCAAATAGTGAAGTATATAAGTGCTTGTTACACTTATATTATTTTTTTGTACACTTACAAGAATTACTTACGTTAGAGTAAAAACCACATAACAATTGAATATAATGTCTAATGTATATTATATAATATATTATACATAATTATTATACAGTATAAATGTGGAGTTTCGTCAGCAAAAATTTGCATAGGCGACCTAACAAAATGAGACGCCCTTACAAATGTACACTATTATCTTATGTAGCTAAATTGCTTACTCTCGACAACGTGTTTTAACTAAGCGTCTTTCTTGTCGACTTTGGGTGTGCAATTTTGTAATAGGAGACTGAAACCAGGTGGTACAATGATCAATTTCAAGATTAAAGCATAGACCATAGATATACCAAGGTACTAGGGTCGAATGGTTTTGCTATAGATCAAATATGGGCATTATTTAAAAATATCAACCACAGAGACTGCCACCAAACGGAATTAAATATTAATAGTAGGTCAAATGAGATTCCAAAGGGTGGAAACTTTTATGTATCTTGTAGTTAAAATGGATACAACAAGCGGTGCGGACACGAGTGAGTGCAAGGAAAATTAAGTGCAGCAAATATTGAATGTTGTTTTAAATTAAAAAAAAAAACTGTCAAAAATTAATGAATAAACATAATGAATTAAAAATATTATTTTTACCGGTAGTTTTAAAGGGTCCCTTTTATAAGTCAAATAGCAACCGCACAATGTACCTACCACGCATTTTTTTCAAATTAAAATCATTACACCGCATGGATATAAAATCTGGTTTACCTGTATATTATCTTAGGCTATAGCTAAGACAAATATCCATCTTCTCACTAGTAGTGTGTTGCATTTTGTGATTTTTTTCCTGTACACAACAAGGTCTAGCATGCAATTTGTTTTCATCTCAATCATGTACTATTCAACAATTTTGTTTAAGATTTAACATAGTAAAAAGTTAGTATGCACAATTGTTTTTTGTGCTGTTCGGAAACTAGACGGCTTGCAAGGCCTAGGAAGGGTAATTATAATGATATAGAAATAAAAACTGAATTTTTATGAATTGACAAAACAAACTTATATAAACGTTTATTTATATTATCAATTCTTAATTTATATTTTTGTATATTTTGTTAAAATCATAAAACTTAAAAAATATAATATGTGAAAAGTTATACATCTTTGAAATGAATCATAAAACATACAATATAAAACATATTACCCATAATTAAAGCACGCCCAAAAAAAAAAATCCTATGTAAATCATTTTATATAATATTTAATTCAGTAAAAACAAATAAACCTTTTTAGCGTTAAACATTAGGCAACATTTACACACTCCTTAAACATCAACTTAAATAACTCCACATCGTCCAACATTTCGTCCTCTAAAAAATATAATATTTTTAGTTAAGAAGGTTATTTTATTTTGTCTCTAGATCAACTTCAACATTTTGACCACTTATAATATTATAATTATTGTAAAATCACTCATTCCCCGTTGCGTTAATATCAAAAAAACAGTATAAATTGGAAAAAACGTATTTACCGTATCCTTAAAATATTAACCCTATTAATCATATATAACCCCTAAGGAGCTATACCGTTATTAATCTCATACCCATTAATCAAGGGACACTCTTCTACTTTTCTGCTTTTTCACTTTTTTTCCTACAATTATCTTTAGTCTAAACATATTATTTTTTTTACCAAAATCTTCATTTAATATCGTCCGTTTTATGTGGTAATATCACTGCGGTTTCTCGAGATTTATTTTACTAATTCCAACTGTAAAAATAACTACCCTTTTAAAACCGCCTAGGTCGTACTCTATGCTTGTTCTCACTATGAGAGTTATTAAAAAATTCAACCCATTTCGATAACGCTATAATTTGCAATATTACTGTCGGTATCGTATGTGTCAATGAGAGAGCCAACGTGTTTCAAGTCCAGGAAATACGATTTCTCAATATCCTTAGCTTCTTCCTTACACAGTTTACCGTTCTTGTCTTTGTCGAACTTATGGAATTCCGCTATGACTTTTTTAACTATTTCGGATGAATAGACTTTTCTAGTCTGAGAAATCAACAAAAAAATTCATGTAGACAATTTTTAGATTATGTAGTGCACAAGAGGACGGTACCCACATGTCATTTGTAGTATGATAACATGGTTAGGCGAACAAAATATACTCTATGGGCTGTAATAGTATTGATTTCACCAAATTTTTATAGAAACAAATAATAAGAGCATGTTAACAATAGTAATTTTTGCTATAACTTTTTTTCCATTGATTTTTAAAGTGTTTTAGTAATAATTGTTAATATATTATAAACAATTAGTCGAAATCGTCAACACTATAGTTTTGATTCGCGGAAAACTATCTTAATGAAAAAAAAATTGTAATGGTTTTTAATGAAATTACTATGAATGCACTATAGTGTAAGCTTTAGGTTATGACCTTACGGAAAATTTCCTATATTTTACTCATTTAATAAATGGGTGGGGGCGTCCTGGTAAAAATATATAAAACGCAATCATAATATTAATATTACATTTTTGTCGGCCGTTCTGTTGTATTCTGCTGCAACAAGCACCAGCTCTTGTAACTCAAAAGCAGAATTTTCTATGATCAAAATATTGAATACATTTTTTATTTTATTAAAATATACTCATTGAATCAGAGTTGATAAATCTAATGAAAATTGCGATTATTTCATAAATCATAAACAAAAAAACGAACGAAAACATCATTTAAAACTCTATAAATCAAATTTAGTCATTGAAAAATATTAATAACAAACGAGATAATATGAAAATAATATTCTTACGAATGCGATCAAAAACCAGATTCTCGTCGTGATCATTAATTATAGATAACCCTAAAATAAACTCTGTTATTTTAGTAGCACTAATGAAATCGCCATCTACTTTGTCATCTTTAATTAGGATCAGCTCATCGATCTGACTCTCTTCTAGACCATTGCCCTAAGTACAAGTATTTAAATCATGTAAATATTGAGTAAGTATACGAATGAATATTGACCTATTTTTTAATGCTGTAATGCGCTAAAGTCTACAAAATATATTTTTCTTAGACATGTTAAATGCCATGCCAGGCAAAAGCATAAATTCTTACCACTGGTTTTATATCCACAAAGACCGATAAGAACTCTGCGAAATTAATTGTTAGGTCACCTATAAAAATTAATTTAAATTATCAACCTTAAGAATAAAATTATTTGCTTCGTTAGCTCAATAACACCTTCAAACGGGTTAGCCAATCTTTCTTTCTCGTCTTCATTTAAACTTAAAGCTTTAACGACATTTTTTAATTCTTCAAAGTCAAGTAGACCGTCTTCATCGCCCCCATGTTTGTCGTGATATCTGAATAGGTTCAAGTAAATTGTTACTTCATGGGTTGCAAATCTCCGTTTCTATGTAAAAAACAAAGCGAGTATGGAAATAAGAAAATCATATTATTTCAAAATTTTTTTTTTTTTTGTTACTACCAGCCAGTGATCAGATTTCTTATTGTGTTTGGCCAGAAGTACCAAAAGTTTTTGTACTTTTAGACCGTCTTTGGTATCTATATTTAAAAATAAAATAGAATTCAATTCTAAGCAATTTTCAGTCGAGATAGCCAAGACCCAGTTTAAAAGACCCCTTATTACCTGGTTCGTATGTAAATTCTGACAAATCTTCCACGCCTATTTGTTTTACAATTTCCATGATTTTATTTGGAGAAATGTAGTCTACAGTGTTTTCGCCTGCTTTGAATTCAAAAGCAATCCTATTGATTACACCTCTATTGAGTCCGACGCTCTATAAAGTATCATAAGAAGAATAATAAAAACAATACGTTCTATTTACTACCGAAGTTTTTTTTTTTTATTGCAATTATAATTTTTATCATAATATGTTTTACACTTACCTGTGTCGTGGTCACGAAGTACAACGCACAAAAGATAACAGCACTTTTTAAATGCATAACCGATTTTTATTTTTCAAACACTCTGTTGAACCAGCGAAGTACGTCTTCGATACCAAAGTTGGATGAACAGTGGAAATCGATTCAATTCGGTGTGTTTTCTATATAGGGTGTGATTGATAAAATGAGAAATATTTTACGTAGTTGTTTTTTGTTTTATATTTTATTTACATGTTATGTACTCAAACACTTCAGTTGTATACACAGTGTAACCCAGAAAAATAAAATAACAATATATTTTTATTTGCTGTACATCGCACAAAAACAAAAACAATATATAGCAAACGATAAAGTGTTATTGAATCTTCGTATACTAATAATATTCAATATAAAAATTGATTTCCATACATTATACTATTCTAAAGTAAGTGTAGTCACCAAACTTATCCACACAACTGACATGGTCAGTTTGAAGAGGTCAGAAGAGAGTTTGTGGGTGTCTATCCAGCAGGTCGGTTCTGAACTTGCTTTGTGGAGGGGGTCGGAAGGGGCTCGGCTTTCTCGTCCTTTTATTAAACTGGTGGGTAAATAAGAGTACTATCGGTTCCAGTGGGCTTCTACATCCAAAAAAAAGCAGTAGGTCGCTGATATGGGCCGACGAAATATATTTTTGCATCTCATTAAGGCAGGGCTTTTTTTTTTTGTTAAAATTAATTTACCCAATATTAAATTTTGGCCGATTCGTGTAAATATTTTCCGGGTTACTACGATCACGGTATCGCGGAATTATTTGTTTGTTGGTTTTCGGTTATTTTGCACGGCCTGTGGCATCTGCTGGTTTCTAGGTCAAAGATGTATTTTTAATCCGGCCGGTTACAATAGAACGGTTTAGCGCGCACGATTTAGTGGTGGCGCACAGGTGTTGCCAGCTGCCCGTACTTGTGGTGTGTGGCGAGATGGTTAGGTGAGGTGGCGGTGTGTTCGCCAACAGGCACCCCAGAAAAAATACTGCACATTATTTACTGCTGTGAAATAAAATAACAATACTCTTTTGTTTGCTGTACGTCGCAAAAAATAAATACCATATAGCGCGAACGATGAATCTAATTTAATCTTCATGTCATAATATTATAGGTATGTTTAAATGGAAAAAAAAATTATTTCCATGCACTATACTATACGATTACATTTATTCTAGGAATGCGAAATTCCTTCTAAAATGTGTACAGTCCACACAGTTGACATGGTCAGCGATAATCCGTTTTCTCTGTTTTTCAAGAGATGCAATAAGTCCTTTTAGCGTGATAGTCGTAATCCAATTGTATAAAAGAATTAATAGCAGTTGCATGAAAAATATCAACGTAAAAAATTGTAGACCAAAAAGATGACGGTAAAAAATCCTGTGTCATGCATTTTAATAGAGAAACACTACACATTTTTTATGGTGATAACATTATGTATTATCATAGATTGTTTGTACATTTTAAGCATAAAAATACCAAAAACATAAATAAAAGAACTATTATTGTTGTATACTTTGTTTTTTTTCAAATGAACATATGTTTTTTACTCCATAATTAATTAACACAAACTTTTTTAATATTTTAGCATTTTATTTCTATCAATCCGTTTGTTTGCTATAATAACGTTTTGTTAATATGTTTAATTTCCTACTATTTCTTAGGTTGTCCAAAAAAAACCGTAGCCGTTACTGTGCTTAATGAGGTAGACAAAACCTCTTGTGTATAGTTATCTAAAAACATTTTATTGTGGCGGATGACCGCTGTTATCGACTATTGAAAAATGCAAACATAAATATGCTACTAATTTGGTACAAATTAAAAAAAAACATTAGTTTTGAATGTCTTACTTTATAGACAAATTTATACGAATATTGTAAAAGTTTTAACAAACATTTAAATTCGTGGTCGTTCAATGTCAGTAACTATCGAATTTGTTCAACTTGAATATTTATTAGAGTTCGTTAATCAGTAATAATAAATGTATTCAAATTGTATTGCAAATCTGTATTTTGTACAAAAAACAATGATACATTTGTTTACAATAAATACAGTATTTTTTACAACATCTGTTGCAGTGTACACAACCAACAAAATATACTCGTTGGTATCATAAAGTTTTAGGTTTTAACTTTGAAATAACTTTATTATTGTTTTTTATCGGGGATAAGTTATTTGTTGTTTTTCTGAAATGACTGTAGCAATGTAAACAAAGGGCGAATTTGTGTTTGAGCATCATAGTCTTTTAGGTTTTAACATTATAAGAACTGCCATATTTTGCAAAAACAGTTTTCATAGATGTATTGTTGTTTTTCGAAAACTAGTAGATTTCTACAACAAGTTTTTCGATACAAACAACTGGCTAAAAAATAATAAAAAACAAGCAGTTTTTAACATATTGCTTACACAGTGCTTACAGCTGTACAATTGGGTCGACAAACAACAGCTCTTAAAATATCTACATGCTATAATATTTTGTATTCTTTGTTTGTTTTCAGTGGCGCTGTTATCGGGGGTACTTACACCATGGTACAAGACTTTAGGGGTACATTTTTGTAGCGACTTTGTATTTGGTGTACTTACATTAAGTGGAAAACGTGACGCCTGTATATATTGTCTCAGTCTAACAAATTGGCAACATAGGCCCAGAGCAAAATTACGTTGCTGAGATTTAAAAAATGTCGTTTAAGTTTAAACACAAAGTGAATATGTTAAATTTCATAATACATTTTCATAGTTACCTATTGCTTTATATATGATTTAGCACGAACATTTTATTTTCTAAAATAGACAACAAACAGTTAAAAATGTTGAAAGAATTATATTCTTTATGAGTTCACCCAAAGTTTAGGAAACCGACTACCTAAAAAACCCATTGAATTTAGATCTCCGTTTTTGCGTCCTTTGAGCAAATATAATCCCATAGTATAGTGAATGGGAGTATAGTTTCTACAGATTTTGACCTTAAATATTTTTAAAGAGTATTTTCTCATCCCTTGAATAAATGTAATCGCACAGTATAGTGTATAGAAAATATTTTTTTTTATTTAAACAAATAATATTATATGAAAATTTAATAACGTTTTTTGTTCGATATATTGTTTTTGTGCGATGTACAGCAAATAAAAAATATATTGTTATTTTATTTCACATTAGTAAATATGTTACTGGGTTGAACTTTGCGTGAAACTGCAAAAGACACCTCTTTATCAATATACATTTTATAATAGCATGTACTTATGGTTTGTGTTCATACAATTTGTTTGTTTTGAAACCCGACTACCTAAAAAACCAATGGAATTTAGATCTCCGTTTTCGCGGCCTTTGAGCAAATATAATCACATAGTATAGTGTATGGAATTTTTTTTTTATATAAACGAATATTGTTATTATATGAAGACTAAAAGCATTGATCGTTTGCTAAATATTGTTTTTGGTTTAGTCCCATGTACAGCAAATAAAACTATATTATTTTTTCATATTTCTAGCTTAACATGTGCTTACAAATGTACAATTAGGTCAAAAAAGAACTCTTTAAGTATTTAACATGCAAATAAAAGAAAACGAAATCAACTACCTACAAATATTTCCATTTATATATTTATGTGGTTTTTGCCATATCACACCATATAAAGGACATCCCGAATCGAATTCTACTGTTCAACCAACTTTGGTACCGAAGACATAATTCTGGATCAATAAAGTGTTTGAAAAAAAAACCACCATGCATTTTAAAATTGCTGTTATCCTCTGTGCGTTGTACTTCGTGACCATGACACAGGTTAGTATAACTCATAATAATAAAAATTATAGATGCAATAAAAAAAATAATTTTAGTAGTTAATAGTGTGTATTATTATTATTATTGTACTTATCGTACTTTATAGAGCGTCGGAGTCAATCAGGGTCAAGTCAAAAGGATTGTTGATTTAGTAAAAAAAGACGAAAACGCTAAGGACCAAATTACCCCAGAAGATATCAGTAAAGTATTAACAGAATTGGGCGTGAAGAATTTGGCAGGGTATATATACGAAGCAGGTAATAAAGTATCTTTTGAACAAGGCTTAAACTTAACAATTGAAACCAAATTTCACCCTCTGCAACTTAAAATCAAATTGTCACTAAAAAAAATATCGATCGGCATTTACAATTTTTTCAATTTAACGAACTCATCTTGGCTAGATCGATTAAAGTATGCTAAAAATTTTATTTTTAAATATAGACACGAAAGACGGTCAAAAAGTACAAAGTATAATTGTATTTCTGACCAAAAACCAAAAGACAGAAGACCACTGGATGGTAAATACCAAAAAAAGTTATGGCCAAATTAGTAATTAATGCGATTTTATTATTTCTATATACGTTTTTCTACATAGACCACAAGTTTATCATCCCAAGAAGTAATAGTGTACTTGAGCCTGTTCGTACATAATGATAAAGAAGAAGGTGATTTGGATGGTCTAGTTAATCCTGCGGAATTAAAAAAAATCATTGAAGCTTTAAGTTTAAATGATAGCCAGAAAGAAATTTTAACAGGAAAATTTGAAGGTGCTATTGAGTTAACGAAGTAGTGAATTTTATTTCTACGGTTGATTATTTTAATTAATTATTTTTATAGCTGACCCAACAGTTAATTTCGCTGAATTCTTATATGGCTATTTGGATGTAAAATCACTAGTAAGAATTTATGGTTTTGTTAAAGGCTCGATAAAATACGCATATAATTATGATTTTGCCTGGCATGGCATTTAACCTGTCTAAGTAAAATATGTTTTGTAGATTTTTAGCACATTATAGTATTAAAAAAAGTCAAACTCCTGTCCTACATTTAATATTTACGCGATTTAAATATTTACTCATAGGGCAGAGGTCTAGACATGGGACAGATTACAGATCTGAGTAATATTAAAAAAAACAAAACAAATGACGATTGCATTCAACCCGATAAAATAACAGAATTTATCGAAGGGTTATCAATAATTGATGGCCAGCATGAGAAATGGGAATTTGAAAGCTTTCGTAAGTAAATATTGTATGTAGTAATATAGTATGTAATATAGTCTATGTAGAGTTGTCAAAACAACTTTTTATCTGTACGAAGCAAAGAGTCAAAAATTATCTTTTACTTATTCATGTTACATATGTTTATTTGTATTTACAAAATAATTGTTATTTAGTTTAGATTCATTCAATTACTTATTTGAAGTTTTTAAACTTTGATTCAATGAGTATATTTTAATAAAATAAAAATGTATTTAATATTTTGACCATAGAAAAATATGGCTTGGAGTTGCAAGAGCTGGTAGTTGTTTCAGCAGAATACAACAAAACGGCCGACGAGAAAGTAATGTTTTGTAACTTTTATTCGGACGCACCCCTCCCCCCCCCCATTCATTGAATTAGTAAATTATAGGAAATTGTTGGCAAAATCTTAATTTAGAGCTTCAACTATAGTGCACACTCGTTAAAACAGCAACGAGGATTGTTTATTGGTTACCTATAGTTTTTTTGTTGCCAGACTTTCACTGTAATGGTTTTAGAAAAATATAAAATTTTTTTTTTCTTTACTGAAGTTTGGCGCGAATCTAAACTATACTCTGGATGGTTTAGACTAAATTTTAGTAGTTTATAAAAAAGTTACTAAGAAAACTTAAACATTAAAAATGTATAAAAGGAAAAATTATTGGATCTACCGAAAAACTGTGATGGACGATATGCTCTTCTGTTTCCCTATGAAAATTTGGTGAAATCAACGCTACCACAGCCCACAGAGTATATTAAATTCGCGAAAACCATGTTATCACACTGCAAATGACGAGTGGATTGCATCTTCGTGCGCTCTGTATAATCTAAAGATGTGCTACATGAATTACTTTGTTGTTTTTTTTTTAGCAAAGAATCGTCATTTCTAGCCCTAACGTAAGAGAATTGGTATCATGGTTCGCTTTTTACGATAAAAGCCAAGACGGTTTACTCATTGGGGAAGAACTTGACGATATTGTGGCCAAGTATTTCAAAGGATATACTGTTGACTCTATCCTGATTGACGCCAATGACAATGGTAATATTGCAAATTATAGCGTTAACAAAATCGTTTTAATTACATTAAATAACTATCACAATGAGGACGAGCACAGAGTACGATCCAGGAGGTTTTACGTGTGCAGACATTTTTACAAGTGAACCTATTAATGTTAATCTCGAAAAACCGCCGTGATAATATGTACATAAAACGGACGGTATTAAATCGAATATTTTTCCTTGGTAAAAATAAATACTATACTAAATGTTATTAGCAGAAGAAAAATATGTGTCTTATTATGAAAAATGTCCATTAGTTAATAGATATGTGATTTATGAAATAGATTATTTGGGTTAATATTTTAAGAATGCGGTAAATACATTTTTTTTCTATTTGGACTGTAACGTGATTTTACAGTTCTGAAAAGTTTTATTGGAAAAATATTGTAAAAATGTTGAAGTAGAACTAGTGACAAATTAAATTAAACTGCTTAACTAAAAATATTTTATTTTTCAGGCGACCGGTGTCTTGACCCATTGGAGTTCTTCACCGTGATATTTAAGAAGCTTGAGCATCATAAAAGAGATTGTCACTATCATAAATAATCGCTGAAAAGTTTTATGAGTTTTTACTGAATTGAATATTATACCAAATGATTTACGTGCTTATATATTTTGGGAGTGCTTTAATTATGGGTAATACATTTTATGTTTTATGATTATTTTCAAAGCTGTATAATTTTACACATATATTTTAATTATTTAATGATTTTAGTAAATATACAACGATTTTAATCCATATTAATAAATAAGATACCATTTTTTTAAGTATGATTGTGTCAATTCGTTCAACGTTTAAATAAATAACGTAATACCGTGAAAATTATGTTTTTATTTCGAAATCATTATAATTACCTTTCTTAGCCCTGCTTAAGCCTTGCAAGCCGTGTAGTTCCTGACAGCCAAAAACAAGTGTGCATACAAAAAATTAATAACAGCCTTATTTTGTTTTAGGGGTATTAATATTGAATCGCTGTTATAAACTGTTAAAATTAATATCAAAACCCGTCGAATAGCTCTAATTTAAAAATAAAAAATCTTTAGAAAAAAATGTATTCCTTAAGTGTTCCTCAATCTCAAAAGATACCTAATTTAGTTATATTAGTTTCAGAGTATTTTATCTTGAACTAATGCAAAATACTGGGCTATAAGGATAAGGAATTTATATTAGTACATTATCCTAAATTAATCTCTCTATATTATAAAAAAAAAATATTAAGTATCTACAAAGGCATTTAAATAGCCTATGTACATAGGTTTAAATCTTAATGGATAAGTCAAAATGAGACAGTCTTGGTAAATATGAAATAAAATATCCAACTCCACAGTATTTTTTTTAACCACAATAATTAAGAAATACAATACCGACAAAAATTTACTATAGAGCCGTTGGTAGATTTACAACTTTTGGTGGAAGATTATTTTTGTAGATTAAAATTATAGCAATAGACCTGTAGCCTTAATGCCGTAGCAATGTAAACAAATGACTAATTTGTTTTTTAATATCACAATCTTTTAGGTCATGTTTTTCAAAAAACAGTTTTTATAAATATATTGCTGTTTCGTTCGGAAACAAATAGATTTCCACAGTGAATACAAAGTATTGGCAAAAAAATAATAAAAAAGCCAGTACAGTGGGGTCGGGGCATAGTGGGACGGAGAGGTCACAGGTCTACAGATTTTATTATAACTGAAAGTGATAAAATCACTTTTAAATAAACGCTTCGATGCGAATCTGTGGATAGTATGTTCAAACAAGTTATAGTGGATTAGAAGATATCGTGGGACCAGCAATAATGTACTTAAAATTCAATATTTAGTCTTGTGCAGGGTGAATACGATAAGGGTTGATCGTCTGTCTATAAAAATGTACTGTCATATTTACCCATATGTCTTAATTAACAATATAATGAAAATACTTTCATTACCTGTTGACACACACATAGCAACCTAGAAACTGACTACGGCCAAAGTGTAAATTTACCTTATTTTTGGGGTTTTTCCTTAATGAAAAAAATATTTGACTACAGATTTTTGAGAAAATTGTATATGTTATAGTTCCATTTTAGATCTACTTTTGGTCTAATTTTCAGATCTAAATCTCTAAAACTTTGCTTGAAAAAGTGAAATAAAGAAAAAAATTCTATTCCTTCACAAGAGTAAACAAACTGGGTCAAAAGGAACTCTAAATAAATTTTGTTTTATAGTATTTTCTATTTCTTGTTTGTAATTATAAATAATTGTCGAATATTTTTTTTGCACAGTAGAGCCCTACCAACGTATTACAAAAATGACAGCAACATTTTTTTTTGTACATTAACTTTGTTAGATTATCCTAAATGAACATCTATAATTATTACTTAATACAATCCGAACGTTTTATTATTTTAAATAAATAACAAACAAAGAAGATTTGTATTTCTTATGAATTTACCCGATTACCTAAAAAACCAATTGAATTTACATCTTTGTTTTAAGGTTTCTATAGATTTTATTCTTTAATATAAGTATAATATAAGTATAATATATCGCATTATCGTAAGATCTTAATAAAAAATATTTACGCAACGGATCTATTAGAAGCGTTTATTTGAAAATGTTTTTATCACTTTCAGTTGTAATAATTACTGTAAACCTACGACCTCCCCGTCCCCATTACTTCCCATTATATTTTTGAATAATTTTTTAAATAAAGTTTTAGAGATTTAGATCTGAAAAGTAGACCAAAAGTAGATCTAAAATGGAGTTATAACATATAACATATACAACATTATATATAACATATACAATTTTCTCAAAAATCCGTAGTAACATTTTTTTTTTATTAAAGAAAAACACCAAAAATAGGGTAAATTTACACTTTGATCGTAGTCAGTTTCTAGGTTGCTATGTGTGAGTGAATCAACAGTCAACAGGTGATGAAAATATTTTCATTACATTGTTAATTACGATATATGGGTAACTATGACTGTACATTTTTATAGACAGACGATTAACCCTTATCGTATAACTGGTTTGAACATACTATCCACAGATTTGCATTGAATACTTATATCGAAAAGTAAAAGACAAATTACGGTAGTATACCACATGGGTTTTGCGAATATTTGATTAAGCCAAGGTTAAACGACAAAAGGTGTTAACACCAGTAAAAATGAAATATACTAAATTGTAAGCCGGAATGCCTAAGTGAAAAAAACTTATAGAAAAAGGATTCAAATAAATCATATTCTAATGACAGTCACAATACATTCTTGTCTTTCATGTAACTTCTATTAAAAATCTTAACCTCGTTTTTTCGAGAAATAATTTGCTTATTAACCTTTATAATATTTATGGAAAATTATTTTGTTTAAATGCAAAATAATAAGTTATTCATGAATTACTTATATAAACCGTTGTCCAATTATACCGATTCAACATATAGGGTGAATTGGTTAATTATGACCTAGTCCATATTATCAAAGTTTAAATTCCTTTTTAAACGTTTTTTTTTCATACAGTCATAGTTAACAGTTAGCCCAAAATTTCTATATTTTTTATCAATCAAATCCCATCCTTTATGTGTTAAAATCCTATGAATTTAATTTTTTTAAATGGTTACGCACACATTAGCTTAGCTCTTATAATTAAGATTAATTTTCTTAGAATTTTGAGTAGGTTATACCAATAACTTATAATTATGAATAATAATTTTTGAAATTATCAACGGTTATATGCGTGAATAAAACAATTGCACTTCACCTCCCATCCTGAATTTCAAATTACTGCGATATTTCCTAAGCCATGTGTCTGTAAACATGAGACATATTTTACTCGAGTAGCAACTCTTTAAATTTAAAAACATATACCATTAGTATTCAATATTAGTAATGTCTGTTCAATCATCTGGTTTGACTGTTTTTTTCAACCGTCAACTTTGATTTAAAATATCTTCGCGAAAAACAGTCGGATATAATTTTATACGAATTTTTTTATATTAAATATGATCCAATTTTTTTTCTTCGAGGGATAACCCAACGAGTCGAACATGTTGTGTACTCGATACTCGTTATCGAACTTTGTTTGAAAATGGACGATCTAAAATATTTCGATTGAGGACCGTAAATTTCGTGTAAAAATATTTTTTTCACATGGCAAAAGATACAATGAAGGGGGAATGATGTATAATGATTTCGCAAAGAAAGTTGTCGTCCAGCCCCCTGTGATGACGTCAACGGCTAATGTAATTTCGCGGTATGCCCGCAATATTTAACCCTACACAAGCCGTATTGATCTCGAACGGCGCCCCTAGCGAGTTCTTTTTCAAGGGGTCGTCGTCAGCAGTGGCGCCACCTGCGGTAACCCGGGCCATTGTCTACTCGACTGCACGCCGTTCGAACACTGGGCGTCGAGCGGCTGTTTTCAATTCATTCTCCGTTCAAAAAAAAAAAACCATCCACGTCTTTGTTCAGACTACGCCAGTCAAACGGATTTCGCACACAAACGCGTAACGTACAATTGGGTAATATTTTATTATTAATTATAAACCATAATACATCATATGCATATAAATAAATATAATATATTAGGGTGGTCTTTAAAAAGTTGATTTTCGATGTTTAACTCGAGCCCCACAAGGGTTGCAGTTAAAATGGGAATTTATTATAGGATTTCGACACTCAAACCGTGCACAAATCAACGCATAGTACTTTGCCTTCTCCTCGGCTTAAGCTGAAGTTCTGACGGTTTTACAGCTTTTATTAGTATAGTTTCATACATATACGGACTTTTTTCCCGATAACTTTGTATTTATAATACCAAAAACGCCTATTTTTCACTACCAGTTTTGACAGGACTTTTGGGCATGGTGTACAGTAGGTGTTCAAAGAGCTCTAAGCTGTGTAAACTAAGGAGTAGGAAAAAAGTTTTGCGGGACCACCCTAATATATTTGTATTTAAATCAAATGCGTTTACAGCATAGTAGTTAGCAGAGCAGAGTTCACTTGTCTCCATTTGTATTTTCGATGCTTGTTGACAATGTTTGCCGTATTTTTCACACTGAACTCAACATAACATATAGAATGCGCATACGTGCTGTAATATGACCCGACATGGTACGCCGCCATGTTGTTTACCATTTTTCGGGAAGTATAAATGCTACGTAACTTTTCCATGATGAGTATTAAAATTTAACAGCCTCCGAATATTGGACGTTTTTATAAACAGCCGACAAAAGATAATGCGCGTTTATTCATATTGAGTTCAGTGAATATTTCACAAAGTCGCCTGTGTTTTGTGAAAGATACGGACATTTTCTTGGCTTTCTTATGAGATTAGCCAAAAGTTATTGTTAATAGTTTCGTTTTGACATCTGTATCAATGGTAAAAACTAGGCTTATAAATTGCTACTATCGTTATGTAGATATAAAAAAAATTGTTTTTGAAAAAAATAAAGCTCTGTGGATCACTGGACCCCCTGGTAGGAACTATGCTTAGAATTTAGAGTATGCGAATCAAACGGTTACTATGGTTACTTTGGATACCATGGTTATAAGCCAATTGTTTATTTTGGGTTAGCAACCAAAAATAAACATATTCGTATTCGTATTTAAAGTACTCTCGCCAAACTATTTAGACTGCTATCTTGAAAACTTATTGGGAACTTGACACTATGCGTATCTAGAATTATCGCTACCTGCTGTCATTATTTTTTAAATTTTTATTGAGAAAAAATACAATCTGTACAATTTACAGCACAATAAGTATATGTGTTAAGGTTAAGTGCCTACAAGATAGCACTCGCGTTGGTGCATTTGTGAAATAATGACGGCCTATTAGGGCAAAGGAAAATAGAGGTTAGCACCCCTGCACGTATTATCACTCGGTCACCCCCAATTAGCATCCTGCAGTTTGTGATATATGCACTTACTAATTAACTCTTTATGATATATTTCAAGGTAGAAGGAACCAATAAACCACTATGTCACAATCCGAAAATCAAGCAGAAGATATTGAGAGCCAATTTTTGATCGAATTAAAAATAATAAAACGGGAAGGTTTGCAGTAAGTTTTTTTTATACTTACTATTTTATTTCCATTATAACTCGAGCGTATTTTCTAGACGGTTAATCAGACAACGTAAAGCAGTGGTGAGCCAGGTTGTCCGTGGTTCAATCAGAGAAGTTGTACTCATAGATCACATCAAAAATGAAAATCGACTATTAGACGATGCCAAACAAAAGCTCAAGGTAAGCACTTGATTACATCATAGGCCGTCGTCAAATTGTTTACAATATTGTCTACCGATTTTCTAATATATAATGTATTTATGAAATATTAGACGACAACAAAGCCCGTTGATGAGGATCTTAAATCAACCGTACTTGAGTTAATAACGAATCGTGTCAGCGAATTGTATAACATGTTGATTTTCCAGTTTCTGCCGACCCTCAGAACTTTAAAAAACTACGTATTCTTTTGCTTGAACAATGTATGTAAAGCGAGTTATGCACAGTTTTTTAAATGCCGTCAAAATTATTTTCATAAATCATCTTCCTATTTCAGAATTTACTAATTGAGTGCAGAGCGACGTTAAATACCCTGTCAGAGATGCCGGGCCACAACCGTGTACGTGTGTGATGCGAATTTCAAAGAAAATTTAAAAAGAAAACCCAAACATGCTTGAGTGTATTTTTTTTTATTGTTTCTAGATAGCATTTATTTAAAATAACTGTATCGTATTGTATTTTTTTTTTTAATCAGTTTAATAGACCATTCGATCTTGAATCATAAAATTATATAAAATCATTGCCAAAGTAATTAACAATATAATTTTGAAAATATTTTTAAAACACCCGTTGTCAGTCGATTCAATCTAGTAACCAAATCATTTAGATTTGTATAGAATATCTTACTGGCTTTTAATTTTTTTTACGTTTAAAGTAATGGGCTTTAAAAAAACCAAAATCTTTGATATCTTTTCAACAATAGAGACATAAAATAATTTAACTTAACTGATGTTATATTGGTAATATTATTAGACATGAATTTATGCATAATAACTACGAATCGCTTGTGAGAATTAATTGACATAGTAATAAAATCAAATTTAATTATATTGTTTTTGTTTTTGAATGCTTACTTCTTGCAAGCATTTGTGTATGCAATAGATGACTGTTTAAACATGTACACTAAACTCCACAATATCAAAGTATAATTTCTCGTATTTTAATAAAGAGTTTTAACATCACGAGACGAATAAATTACACAACTTAAAATATGTGTTGAACAGGTTCTGTGTTAGACAATACATTTTACAATTACTAAACACAATAATAACGATGATAGATCAACACAATATTCCCAAAAGAAGTTCAATGAATATAAAAAAATGCCAGTAGGGTGGGTTCGGAGCAAAATTCCAAAAACTAGGTATACTTAAAAATAAAAATGCCATCCCTTTTGGGGTAGGGGGGGTCAAGACACAACACAAAATAATATTGGTCTTATTTCCAGTTTTGCCATACTAAAGAAGTATAGTAATAAATAGAGTATCTACTTCTTCAACGGTGAAGGTATTAATTCTATTTTCTTGGGTTTTTTTTAAACAAATCATGATAGAATATATTTAGAATGTACGAGTAGCATAGAATATACTTTTATAAGAAAATAAAATAAAAATGTAGGTTATAATTTCAATTTTTCGAAAACTGTAACCGTGTTAAAATGTTTACCTTCAAATATGTATAGGTAATATGTTTTCGATTTTAGTGATATTTTTTAGTCTGCACCATTATACCACTTTTGATAAAAGGAGTATAAAATAATTTTTAAAAAAACAAGGTTTTACTGTTTGAGATACTTATAATATTTGAGTCCATTAAAAAAAAATCGTCAATTCCATATGTAAAAAAAAAACATCTTAAGCACAAGGATATGAAATTAATTTATAAGTTCTAAGTATACGTAGCAAAATAATATTTTTAATAAAATGGGTTGTCCGGACAGAAGAGGCGCTAGTTATAAAAGCCCAATGAGAGTATTTTATATCAAAACAGTTTATTATGTTTGGCAATTTTCTACAATACCTTCAATAATTTACATTGTTATTTCAATCTATAGTAATTAATAAGTACAATAAAGGTATTAACTGGTATAGATTTTAAAATCCACCAAACAGGTCTAAACTTAACGTATTTCAGGACTTCGTATCTTGACCCTCAAGTCCAAGGTAAACCCAACTGCGGACATTAAATTATAATTGGCACAACCTCTGAATATTATTATAAAAGAGGGCTTTTCACATCCCTCGAATATATAACAGCATAGTATAGTATATGGAATTTATTTAAATTTATTCAAACGTAAAATATTATTATATGAAGATTTAATAATATTTTATCGTTTGTTATATTGTTTTGGTTTTTGTGTGACGTACAGCATATAAAAAAGTATAATGTTATTTTATTTCACATAAGTAAATATGCAGTATTTTTTTGGGTTACACTGTTCTTACAACTGTACAATTGGTTCCAAAATCAACACTTCAACTATTTACATTTTATAATATTTTGTATTTTTTGTTAACATATTACAAAAAATTATAGCAAATACTTTTTTTGAACGTTAAACTTTGTTAAATTTTCCTAAATGAACATTTATAATTATTGCTTAATAAAATTGGAACATTTCATTTTCTTAAATAGATAACAAACATTGAAGACTAATTATAGATTTATATTTATTATTAATTCTCCCGAAGTTTAGGAACCCGACTATCTGAAAAACCAATTGAATTTAGATCTTCGTTTTTAAGTGTAGATTTTGATCTTTAATATATTTACAATGTATTTATTACAACACTATCTATCATTTCATCAAAACAACTGTATAGCAAAGAACTGTAAAGAATATGTAAAAAAATGTTTTTACTACATATTTCAAAAAATTTTATTACAAATAACGAACCTGACTAACACATATTCTTAGGTATCAGTAGTTATAACTTATATGTCAAACAGTATTTTACAAACAGTATTTTTAATTATAATAAAATTATCTATATTGTATGTTTATAAGCTGTTGAATATTTATATAACAAATATTGCAATATACATAATAATAACAAAAAAAAAATATGAAACAGTTTAAAAATTATCTGATTTTCTTATTTTTATGTACTTTTTTTTAACATAGAAACGGAGATTATCAAGCCAAGAAGTAACTATTTACTTGAACCTGTTCGAATATCATGACCAAAAAGGAGGCGAGTTTGATGGTCTAATTAACTCCAAGGAATTAAAACAAATCGTTGAAGCTATAAGTTTAAATGAAAGCGAGAAACAAATGTTGACAGGACGATTCGAAGGTGTTATTGAGTTAAAGAAGCAGTTAATTTTATTCCTGAAATTGATAATATAAATTAATTTTAATAGGTGACCTAACAATTAACTTTGCCGAGTTCATACAAGCCTTTTTTGAAATAAAACCACAGGTAAGAAATGATGGTTTCGTTAAAGGCTTAATGAAATACACAATATATTATAATTAGGCTTTTACCTGGCATGGCATTTGAAGGACACAGAAGAAAAACGGTAGTAGTCACATTATGAAAATTCTTTTTTCAAATAGTTTTTTTCAATTTATGCCTTTAATTTTTTTTATTTATGTCAATAGATTGTTTAAATAAATAAATGTTGTATTAGAAGAGCATTTAATGTGATTTTTTTTTTGTTCTTATGTAAAAGGGACAGGAATTCACGAACTTTGTTTTTGTTATACTCTAAAATTTTCATAATGTGACTACTACCGTTTTTCCCCTGTGCCCTTCATTTAACATGTCTAAGAAAAATATATGTTGTAGATTTTAGCGCATTATAGCGTTAAAAAAAAGTCAAAATTTATTTTTACACTTAATATTTACATAATATAAATACTTGTACTTAGGGCAATGGTCTAGAAGAGAAACAGATTGATGAGCTGATCCTAATTAAAGACTAAATTTCATTTATAGAGTTTTAAATGATGTTTTCGTTGGTTTTTTTTATTTATTATTTATGAAATAATCGCAATTTAATTTAGATTTATCAACTCTCATTCAATGAGTATATATTTTAATAAAATAAAAAATGTGTTCAATATTTTGCTCATAGAATATTCTGCTTTGGAGTTGCAAGAGCTGGTGCTTGTTTCGGCAGAATACAACAGATCAGCCGACAAAAAAGTAATATTAATAGTTTCGTAATAATTGCTTTTTGAATGCTTTTATGAGGTCGAACACACCCATTTCTTAAAGGAGTAAAGTATAGGACATTTTCCGTGTGGTCATAACCTATAGCTTAAACTATAGCGCATACTCATTAATATAGCAATGCATGTGCATATGAAAACAATACTATGACAGCCCATAGAGTATATTATTTACGCGCAACCATGTTATAACACTAAAACTAACGAGTGGGTACCGTCCTCTTATGCACAACATAATCTAAAGATTTTCTACATGAATTTCTTTGTTGATTCCTTAGACTGGAACCGTCTATTCAACAGAAATAGTTAAAGAAGTGTTAGCGGATTTCCATCAGTTCGACCATAACCAGAACGGTAAAATCTGTAAGCATGGAGCTATACATATTGAGAGGATGTATTTCCCGAAAAAGAAAAACTTTGGCTCTCTCATCGACGCATATGATACCGATGGTAATATTGAAAATTATAGCTTTATCAAAATGGGTTTAATTTTTTAAATAACTCTCATAGTGAGAACGAGCATAGAGTATGACCTTGACGGTTTTACGAGTGTAGGGTTTTTTACAGTGTAAAGTAGTAATGAGTAGTTTTACAACTATGAAAAGTATCTTCGGAAAAAGATGGCTCATGCTTTAACAATAAATATAAAATATCATAATATTATATTGGGCAAAATGTTGGAGTGGATCTAGAGACAAAATAAAATAAACTTCTTAACTGATAATGTTTTACTTTTTAGCCGATGGATTGTTGGACGTTGCGGAATTATTCAGGTTGATGTTTAAGGAGCGTGTAATTGTTGTTTAACGCTAAAAAGGTTGATGTGTTTTTGCTGAATTAAATATTATATTAAATGATTTCTAAACGAATATTCTTTGGGAGTGCTTTAATCATGGGTAATATATTTGAAATTTGATGTTTTATGATTCTTTTCAAAATTGTATAATTTTACACATATATTATATTTATTTCATGATTTTATTAAATGTACAACGATATTGATCCATGTTGATGAATATAAGATACGATTATTTAAGTTTGTTTTTGTCAATTCATAAAACGATTTAATAAATCATGTAACACTGTAAAAGTTATGTTTTTATCTCGAAATCATTATAATTACCTATCCCAGGCCTTGCAAGCCATCTAGTTCCTGTATGCATTACACAAATTAAAAACAGTGTAACAATATTTTCAAAGTATTAACGCGATGAATCGCTGTTATAAGGTGTCGATATTATAATCGACACTGATCGAATAGCTCTAATATAAAAATCCAAAATTTTAGAAATAATGTGTCTCTCAATTCTCAAAAGGAAAACTCCTATGTCATCACTCACCCAGTTAAGAAATATTAGGTGTCTAATAAAAATTTTGCAGACATACAAATGACAATTGGCGTATTATGAAAATAGTTAAATTTTGAAAAGACAAATTAATTTTTTATTATTATATTTATATGAATAATGATAGTATTCATGTTTTAGTTTTAAAACGTCACAAATAAAAATGAGGTAGTATCTAATCAATTTTACATTACAAACAATTGGCAAAAATAGAATAAAAAACAAGTAGTTTTTTAAAGTATTTTGAATTTTTTGTTGGTGATTATAAAAGGCTTACAAACAAGTGGACCAATCGGTAAAACCGCCCAGACACACAGTCCTAGCATTGTCGCTGTATGAGCGATCGGTATAAGATATTATAAGTATACAATTTTTTTTTTAGTTTCAATTGGAATTTCTGTATTATAAAACGATACGTTCATAAGTTGTTTAACATTAAATACAGCATATTGTAAAATAAATATTACAATATAAATAAATGACGATATGTCTGTAGGTATCATATAGGTTTTAGGTTTACCGTTTAACATTATAAGAGGTGTATTATTCAACAAAAACGATTTGTAATGTGGTATTATTTTACACAGACAAGTATTCAATGTGTGCATGTAACAATAGCGTATTGACGTACAAAAAATAAAGATCAAACGTTTAATAACACAAATTATAAAATAAAATACTAAGTTCAAAAAAAAAAAAATGTTTTTCGATAAAAAAACATATCCAAAAAGATCCAAAACAGTGATCGAAAATAATAGTTCCAAAATGTTTGATTAAATAACATCAAAGTAGGTTAAATTATATGATTTTGAGGTTGCTAAATGTAAATTTAATTGTTTTTTTAATCATCATCCTACTTGGGAAACATTTTTTTATCATCATCATTAATTTGAATGCTACTTTACTAAAATATACATAGCACAGGATTTTTTATAATTTATTTTTTTCTACAATTTTTTACATGAACCTTTTATCATGTATCTTTTATAAATGCTTTTTTAAAAAATATTCTAAATGCTGTATTAATGGCATTACATACAAATTGTAGTGACCTATAATTGTGTTATGTAATTAATATATGATACGCTGTAGTAAGCCACGACAAACCGAAAGAGCAAACATAGGCGATATCTCAAAAAAATCAGTTTATTCCACTATAAGGTAAATAGTATATTTTTAAAAAAGGTATCTTATTTGATATGGTGAACTTTCTGAAAATAGACTATAAATGGGAGGTTAAGCGCGCATTAGTGAACTAACGTACAAATTAAAACAATAATTGGTAACCTAATAAAATAAACTAATTTAAATTTATATTATTAAAATAAAGAAAATATAATTAATTGAATTAATTAAAATCAACCATGTGGACCAATTGGTAAGGCCACACTGTCCTAGTAGTGTCGCTGGGTGAGTTGCGGCTTGGTGGGGAAATAGGACACAGTACCGTTGACCATGTCAGTTGTGAAAATAATTTTTGATGAGTAACACCAGTAATTTTCTCATCCCTTGAATAAATGTGATCGCATAGTGTAGTGTATGAAATTAATTTTTTTATTTTAACGAATAATATTATATGAAGATTTAAAAACATTTTTGTTCGATATATTGTTTTGGGTTTTTTGCGGTATACAGCAAATAAAAATATGTTGTTATTTTAATTCACCTAAGTAAATAGCAGTATTTATTAGAGTTACACTATACTTACAAAATATGTACAATTGGGTCAAAAAATACTCTTAAAGCAACGAAAAAAACAGCTCTTTATAAAAAGATATCCCAAATTGAATAAAATTCCACTGTTCATCCGATTTTGGTATCTAAGACTTAATTGTGTTCTAACAGAGCGTTAAAAAAACCCAATATGCATTTCAAAACTGCTGTTATTCTCTGTGCGTTGTACTTCGTGACCATAACACATGTTAGTATAAAACATAACAATACAAATTATAAACGCAATAAAAAAAAAAGATGTCGGTAGTTAATAGTATGTATTATTTTTATTGTATTTATGGTAATTTATAGAGCGTCGGAGTCAATCAGGATCAAGTCAAAATGATTGTTGAATTTGTCAAACCACACGAAAACGCTATAGACCAAATTCCTCCAGAAAAATTCGAAGAAAAATTTCGAGAAATGGGCGTGAAGGATGTGACAGGTTTTACATATGAAACAGGTAATAAAATTTTTTTTGAACAAGGTTTAATCTTAACTAATGTAATCAAATTTTACATCATCCCACTAAAAAAAAAAATATCACAAGAAATAATATTGGTCCAGCACTTACTAATTTTTCAATTTAACGCACTCGTCTTGTGGCTAGCTCGATTCAAATATGCTTAGAATTGTATTTTTAAATATAGGTACGAAAGACGGCCAAAAAGTACAAAATGTTATGGTATTTCTGGCCAAAAACAATAAGACTTCAGACGACTGGAAAGTAATAAAAAAACACTTTTTTTTAGATTTGTAATTAATCCATATTTTTTATTTTCACACACCAATTTTACAAAGATCCTAAGATTATCAACCTACGAAGTAACAATTTTTTTGAGCTTGTTCAGACATCATGACAAAATAGGAGACGATAACGATGGTCTAGTTAACTCTAAAGAAGTACAAAATATCATTAAAGATTTAAGTTTAAATGAAAACGAGAAAAACAGATTGGCCGGAAAATTCAAAGGTGTTGTTGAGTTAACGAAGCAGTTAATTATATTCCTATAGTTGATAATTTAAATAAATTTGTATAGGTGACGTAACAATTAATTTCGCGGAGTTCATACTTGGCTATTTGGATGTAAAACCAGAAGTATGAAATTATGGTTTCGTTAAAGGATTGATAATATACACATATAATAATGCTTTTGCCTGGTATGGCATTTAAATGCCTTGGAAAAATATATTTTATAAATTTTAGCGCATTAAAAAAAGTCAAAATTCATTCGTTGATTTAATAATTACATGATTTATACATTTTTTCTTAGGGAAATGGTCTATCAGAGTATCAAACTATGTTGCTCTACAAAAGAGGTGGCTCCTACAATATGACTACTCGTGTAAAACGTTTTTTTAAATGCCTTTCTATTGTTGATGTCCAGCATAATAATTGGGTTTTTGAACGCTTTCGTAAGAATATATTTTTGTTATTATCTCGTTTGTTATTAATACCGTTCTGTGTAGAGTTGGCAAAATAACTTTTCTTCTGTAAAAAGCATTAAGTGAACAGTAATCTTAATTGAACTTATATTTAGATTTATTCTACTTTTTTTTTTATGTTACTCAACATTATTTAATGAGTATATTTTACTAAAACGAAAAATGTATTTAATATTTTAACTATAGAAAATCCTAATTTGGAGTTGCAAGAGTTGGTGGTTCTTGCAGCAGAATACAAAATAAAGAATACCAGAAAAGTAATATTATTAGTTTAATTACTTATTAATTTAAGATTGCGTTTTATATGCTTTTATCAGGACGCTCCCGCCCATTTATTGAAGGAGTAAAGAATAGTAAATGTTCATACTCATTAATACAGCAACGAAGATTGTTTATTGTTTATAGTTTTTTTGTTGCCAGGATTTCACATTAATTTCTTTGGAAAAATCTAACATTTTAGCTTCGATGCGGAGCTGAGAAGTTATTGTTTTTACAATGATGTGTATTTATTTTTTATTTTTGCGTCTGGACCCACGATATCTCGTGAATCGCTGAACCGATTTCTTTGTGTAGCAACTCTATAGATTAGAAATCATACCTGAAAGGTACTTCATCGGGCCAAAAATTAGAAAAAAACACCCCTTCCCCATTCAAATTGAGAAAAACTCCTAAAAAATGTACAAATTTTACAACTTAAAATTACGATCTACCAAAAAATTGTTATAGGTTATATACGTACCATACGGTCAACTCCTTACCTCTGAAGTTAGAGTTTATGTATCGGATTTCGCTATTCAAGACATAAACTATGACGGCTTACTCAATGGAATGGAGCTTGATGGAATTTTGAGCCAGCATTTCGAAGGAGTTACTGCAGAATCTCTCCTTGGAGAGGCCGATACCAATGGTAATACTGCAAATTATAGCGTTAACAAAATCGGCCTAACTATATTAAATAACTATCATAGTGAGGATGAGCATAGAGTACGATCTAGGCGGTTTTACGTCAATAAATGTTGAGAAACCAAATTATATTATATTATAAGGAAATAATATGCTCATAAAATGGATGGTAGAGGAAGAAAAAATTGTATCCTATTATGTAAAATGTCCATTAGTAAATAAGTATGCGATTTGTAATAAGATAGATTCTTTGGGTTTTTATATAATCCTTAAGGTTATTATTTTAAGGATACGGTAAAAACATTTTTTCTAATTATACGGTTTCTTGATTTAAACGCAACGGGGAATGAGTGATTTTACAATTATGAAAAGCATTGTCAGAAAAATATTGCTTATGTTTCAACAATAAGTATGATATTATAGCGTTCAAAATGTTAAAGTAGATCTAGAGACAAAATAAAATAAACTTCATTTATTTATTACTTTTCAGAGGACAACAGTATTGACATTGTGGAGTTACTCCATGTGATAATTATGAAGCCTTATTGGCTGAAATTTGATGTTTTATGATTCTTTACAAATCTGTATAATTTTACACGTAAACTTTCATTATTTAATGATTTTAGTAAATACACAACGATTTTAATCCATATTGATAAAATAAGATATGCTTTTTTTAAGTTTGATTGTGTCAACCCATTAAACGATTGAATAAACAATGTAATACCATAAAACTTATATTTTTTATTTCGAAATCATTATATCTACCCTTCTTAGACGTTGCAAGCCATCTAGTTCCCGAACAGCTCAAAAAAACATTTTCGATTTGAAGCACCAAAGAAAAATACTAAAAACCAGTAAATTTCTATTGAAGTTGAATCATCATTTCAACAAGTTTGTTAAAGAAAAAATAGAAAATAAGTTTTAGTTATGAAATTACCGATAAAATGCTTCGCAATTAATGTTTTATAATTATTTTTGATTCAGCAATAGTAACAATGTCAAAGCAATTTAACCAAATAAATTAATTTTGAATTTAAGCTCATCTAAGAAGAAATATATAGAGCTGTTGATAAAGGAAAACAAATACACTTTATAAGAATCTCTGGGCGCATTGGCATACCAGGAATTGAAAAGGTAGACAAAGAAGCATTTTTGTCTATTTTCCTTAAGGTCCCAGTTTCCAAACTATATGTCAAAACTGGCTTGATAAGTGTCTGATATATTTGGGACTTCAGATATATAGAGATTAATCTGATCTTAATAACTTTGTCAGACCAAAATAACATTTATTGGCAGCTTGTATTTTCATACCTATTTCATTCTGCTGTGTTATTAGTGCGCCAAGGTATTTTAACTGCTGTACTCTTTTGAACTTGTAGTTTTTGACTTCTAGGCACTCATTGCAGCGATCTACTTGCTCGTGTCTTTGAACTACCATATATTCAGTTTTCTTAGAGTTAATCTCTAGACCTATACGTTTTGCAGCATTTATGAGTTTTTTTTATTGTTCTTTGAGTTTATCTTTACTTTCTGCCATCAAGACTATGTCGTCTGCATATGATAAAATTCTAAGGTTATTTTCTCTTAGTTTTACACCTTCCTTATCTAGAGTTGCTTCTCTTACTACTTTTTCTAAGGCTATGTTGAGTAAAATAGGTGACATAGCATTACCCTGCCTTAGTCCAGTTGTCACTTGTACCGTCTTCGATAGAGTGTGTCCTACTTTTACTTTGATGTCAGTGTGACCATTGCTGCATTCTATGAGATTTATTAACTTTCGTGGCATTCCGAACTCTTCTAAAGTCTTAATTAGAGACGCTCTATGTATTGAATCATAAGCTTTTTTGTAACCGATGAATAACATACGCACGCTTTTATTATATTCCCAAGTTTTTGTAACACCTGGCGTAGAATGAAGATTTGATCTATCGTAGAGCGGTTTTGCCTGAATCCAGCCTGATAGTCTCCTAAAATCCCTTCTGCTCAACGTTTGATTTTATCTAGTATACAATAAGATAAATCTTATACGTTACATTAAGCAGAGCTATCCCTCTATAATTGTTGCATATTTGTTTTTCCCCTTTCTTGTAGATGGGGTAAACTAAGACTGTCTTCCATTCCTTTGGTATCTCTTCTTTTTGTCATATTAAACTTACTAGTCGGTGTATGTAATTAAATTGATTAGCCGCTCCTGTTTTGAGTAGCTCTCCGGTAATCCCATCTTCTCCGGGTGAATTGTGGTTTTTTAGGGTTTTTCTTTGGTTCGAAATTTCCTCTACCGTTTATTATGAAATTATTATTAAACTATATAGTTTAATATAAAATGAGCATGTATTTATAAATGTAATCTAATGTCTACTAATGGCCCTGGTTGCTGATGTAAATAAAGATCAATAAGAAAAAATGAGATGTTTAATTTTTATTGAAGGATGTTACAAACTATACCTGACTAGGTAAAATCAACCAGTCAAGCTTACCCAACCTAAAAATATCCATACAATCTTTCCTATCCTATAACTCCAGTATAATACCAACCACAACAAGTGGAATAACCACACAGTCCTAGCATTATCAGTTATTCCTGAGTGAGCTGCGGTTTGGCAGGGGAGTAGAAAAAAGTATCGTTGACCATGTCAGTTGTGTGGCTAAATTTGCTGACTATACACATTTTAGAAGGATTTTTGCATCCTTTGAATAAATGTAATCGCATAGTATGGTGTATGGTAATTATTTTGTTTTTATTTAAACGAAAATTATTATTTTATAAAGATTCAATAACATTTATCGTTCGCTATGTTGTTATTGTTTTGTGCGATTTACAGCAAATAAAAAAATGTTGTTATTTCAGTTCACACAAGTAAATATTTAATATTTTTTCTGGATTACACTATACGTACATATATACAACTCGATGAAACAACAACTCTTCAACAACTACGTACCAATATTTCCCATTCCAATACTTATGTTGTTTTTATGAATACATACCATACAGAACATACCCCGAATCGAATTGAATTCCACTGTTCAGCCAACTTTGGTATCGAAGACATAATTCTGGATCAATAAAGTGTTTGAAAAAAAAAATCTTCATGCATTTCAAAAGTGCTGTTATCCTCTGTGCGTTGAACTTCGTGACCATGTTACACATTTTACATTTTACATTTTACACATGTTAGTATAAAACATAATAATACAACTTATAAATGCAATACAAATTTTTAAAAAATGATGGTAGTTAATAGTATCTATTGTTATTATCTACTTATGATACTTTATAGAGCGTCGGAGTCATTATGGAACAAATCAAAACAATTGTTGATTTAGTCAAAGAACACAAAAACGCTATAGACTAAATTACCCCAGAAAAATTCAAAGAAAAGTTAACGGAATTGGGCGTAGAGGATGTGACAGGTTTTATATACGTACATACGAAAACGAAAAAGAACAAAATAACTAAAGTAGATTAAAAAATTAATCTAAAAATAACGTTCTTATGCGTCTTAAAAAGTATAAAATAACCCTCCAGGGGTCTTGATACCCAAATAGGACAGATAAACTAGAAAAACGTGGGGCGCATCTTTACTACTTCACACGTCTGGATATATAATAACATTCAATTCTTATTAATAACTACCTTAACTCATAATTATTCATGCACAATCATCTTTTCTTTTCTAAATAAAATAATACTTAAAATTGAGCACCACATTACTTTAACATTATGAGAGACAACGTAATGCATTAGCATGAAAGCTTAGGTTTTAATATCTAAGTAA